AAAACCAATCCCACTCCTATACCTACCAACCAAAACATTGTGGAATCAGACAAAATTTTAGAATATTGTGTAGGATGCTTTACTAGAGTCGTCTATTGATTTATTGTCGTAACCAAATTAATTAGATTGTTTAGTATAACGGATTGCATAATGAAACTGCCTTCATTGGAAATATAAACAACAAACATATCATTGTACTGACAAACTTGAATTCAAATATAATAATGTATAAATATTCTTCAATTTGTCCACGGATTAGGGCTAATCAGGGGAACTGTTAATTGTCGATGAGGTGAACGCAACACTTGAAATGCCCATGTGTGGCTCGGACCGGTTCGGTACATTTGAACCTAACGTGGCAGGTGGCAGTATACTGCCGGCTTTTGGATATATTTGGTTGACGACCATGGTGGTCTAGTGGTTTAGTACACCGCTTTACTACTGATGGTCGCGGTTTCAATTCCTCGTAACGTGTAAACATTTGTATTCATGAGTATGATTATTTGCATCGGTTGGAGTGTATTCTATGTATATTGTGTATATATTTACAAAAAAAAAACTGTTTTTATATCAGTTGTCTAGTACCCATAACACAAGCACTACCTACGGTGGGACTAGATGGCGCTATGTTAATTATTCAGGATTATTTATTTATTTGTATCTTTGTTATCGATGGAGAAAATACAGATAACAAACGTACAATACAATTTTTTAAATGTTGTTTATAGCAATCTAGCTGACGGCCCACTAGACGGTAAGTGGTAACCATCACCTTACGACTTGACGGATATCATATTATCATGTGACGCCTGAGATACCGATGATTCATTGCTATTCTGGAAGACTAAAATGCCATGGCTCTTATCCTATAATTTCATTACAAAGTAATCTGTTAATGAAAATCAAATGTAAAATTTATCTTATAATTTAATATATCCTATGTAGACTTTGAAACTGTCGTCTATGTTATCTAATAGTTTTTCAGTTGTATGATGTGATATTTTACATAGTTATATACGCACTTCGTATATAACTATGTAAAATATCACATCAGTATATCACATCAATATATTCAGTACACTTTGTAGAATATATATATATATATATATCTCACAGTCTTGTCTAAAAAATATCAGATGATATTTTTAAAGGTATATTTTGTATATGATTTTCAATTCTAGCTATTAATATTCAACATTGTAGATACAAAATAATTGTATCTTATATATATTACAATTGTTTGATCAAATCTATTTATAGACAATACTATTATAGGAATAATACTCTATCTTTATTATTCTTATGATACTACACTGAAGATACACTACTTATTATATACTTTCTAAATTGGTCAAAATGTACTTGATCATAGAAAGTAAGAGCTCTCTTTATTCGATTGATTGGCTCGATAATCTATATTGTTGTAGTTGTTATACGGTAACAAATTACCTACTAATTGGTACCTACATGTGTAGGTGCATAACAGACTACATACGTCCCTTAAATCAGGTACAATGTCGGAGTACTTATGTGTAGCGCCTTGTATCGCTAGATCGCCGCGTATGTAGCAAAATTAGGGCCTATTTATAATGTTTTATGTACTGTATGTATATGTATGTGATTAATTACGAGCTGATGGGTAAATATAATAATCATATTTATTTGAAACCTTCATCGATGTACAAATTAGATGCAGTCATGACTCGAAACTAGTGTAAGCTATGTATGTATGTCAGGAGTCACTTCCTTCCTAAAGCATAAGGATTATTAGGAAATCTTTTTTAAATTTGGTTTTTAAGTGTATGTGTATATCGTATTATAAAATAACTATAAGCTAAATATAATTAACCCAATATGCAGTTAAGGTTTAATGTTTGATTGGTTTGACTATAATATATTTACATATATTATGAGCAAGTATATAATAACTATGATGAAATTTGTAGGAAGAAATAATAATTAGTTGTCTAATTATTGCGGCTGATTAATTTTCTTACTACATTCAATGGTCTTTTCTAGTAAATGTTTCCAATCATACCATTAATACAATAGTTATACGAAAAATAATATTGTCATTAGGTGCACAATAAGTATCTACTAATATTGCTTGCTACACCTCCGTTATTTTGATACTATTATTTCGAGTTATTAATAAAAACCCCTTGCCATTACTCGCCATCACTCGCCAGCACTCACCATCACTCGACACCACTCGTCATCACTCCCCATCACTCTCCACCACTCGCCACCACTCGCCATCACTCTGCTCTTTTAAATGATTAAGTTCTGGACGATAGAGGAGTCTATCGGAGGGGAAAGAATACACATAACTTTACATTTTTAAGCTGAAACTTGTGAATACAGACCAACCGACACGAATTCGTTAAACTCAAAATATTAAACACACAACCAACTGGTTTAGTAACTAAAGAGTAAATCAGTCGTAGTGAAGAGAGCAGACAAGTCCCTACAAGCAGCAGTTCACGAGTATGCCGGATGAGCCAGTCATCACTGCGCTCCATATTTTAGGAAGCCCTTGCACTTGGGTACTAAAACACTGATAGAAATACGTAAATATTTGTTTTTTATAATTTACTTTTAGTAGTTCGTTTTACCATTATCAAACAACACTCAACATGCCTCCAAAAAGAACTGCAATTACAATAATAATATGTGAATATTTTTGATAATATTATATCCTCTGTAGTTCAAGTAGGTACTTGCCGGTACGTAACACTATTTATAGTTGTGGTTCTTGTAAGTACTAGGCTAGGATACACGCGATATCTAGGTCAGTACAAGCAGTGCTTAACAATTTACGACCACCATTGTCAGTTGATTTATTTGTAACACATTTTACTTCTTATCATAAGGAGTAACACTTATAAGGAACGGGACATTACAATGTTTATTACATAATCAATTTTACTATAATTAAAATAATATGCTGTATTAAGTAGGTACCTACCTCTCAGTTTGATGGCTACTCAATATTGTAGTAGATTTATCTACAATCTAGATGACCCTGACTAAATACTTATTAAAGAAGGTTCGTTTCGATATCGATTCGTTATCTACATTAAGAATTAGGGACAAGTAACGAAAATACTATGAATATATGAGGTAATGATTAGGAGAAAGGAAATTATTAGTTTCCCCCACAATGTACGCACCCTACAGGTCGACTTCCGCCCTCCTGCCCTGGAAACCATCATTTTCATTCTATATCGTTTTTACTATAATAGAAAATATATTGAAGGCCCACGTGATGGTATCTGACAGCGACTACCTATACACATAAACAAAACCACGGACATTACATCATAAAATGATGGCAGGGGTACCCCTAATATCCATAATTTTATGCGTTGCCATTTCGTAACCTGTAATTTTACTGACATATTTTACTCTTCAACCGAAACACACTTTACAAGGAAAGTTGTTTGACGGCTAAAACATGCAGATATATCCACACAAAGGACTTTGGACGAGGTTTCCTTGTTTTCAATTTCTGCTAAATTCGGACATAGGCCTAACGGAATTTTAACTCCATCCCTTTGTTCTTTACTAGCCCCTGCCACTACCATAACTACAGGCGGAATAGGAACAACATTAAATGAATTATTAATTATTAAAAAATATAGGAAATAATGAAGATGGAATCAGGTTGGTTAACTCATTGTAAAAAATACAGGGGGTAGGTTGACTTGAAAGTCTTCATTCTTACCCAGTGCCACTAGATCTAATTAACAAATAATAACTAATATTCTAGAGGAAGGAAAGGCGTATAGGTTGAGCCCTATGCTGCCCTCTTCTGAAAAGCATCGCGGTTAATGCAGAGTAAATATAATGTGAATAGGATGGGCTAATTGACTTGACTTCATTTTTATCTCTCATCTTACTCTGATGCCCTGTCAACGTACCTATACATCTCTTATTTGTACCAATACCATTAGCGCAAGCGGTTCAGCATTCCAGGATCATCCATATCTTTACCTAGTATAAAATGAAGTTGCTTCTGCTGTATATTCGCTTTGATCTTTTTATCTACGCAACGAATTTTAACGCAGTTAGTTTTAGCAATAGATAGAGTGATTAATTAGGAAGGTTTATATATATATATATATATATATATATAATACATGTATGTACATCCGTGCGAAACTAGGGCGGGTAGCTAGTAAAAAGTACAATTTTTTTTTCTCCCCAACTTTCGTTCGTTTTGTTTACATTACTGTAAAAAAAATTAAGTGTTCATATATACTTACTTTATTTTATGAGTGTCATGACTATGGCACACTATTTATTAATGCTAAAATAAGACATTAGGCGAGGTCATTATAAAAAAAATTGTGAAACGATTAGAATTCCTATTCCTATATCTGAATTAATTAACATTTAGTTAAGCACATCGACGTGTGTGTCATCGTCATTGTATATCTACTTCTCTAACTGAAGTTTTATAATTCAATAAACGTAATCAAAATTCTAAACGAACTAATAAATGGAGATGGTTTTATTTATTAATCATAAATAATGAGAAGTAGATATAAGAAAATATCTAATATTCCAATTTTGAAATTATATTAGTATTGTATTTAATTATAAACAGAGAGTATGATGTTCAATTTATTAATTATATAGTGAACATAAATAATGGATTTAGCAAGTAAATACGTAATTGTTTATCTTTTTAATTTCCGCAACTTATAAGATTTTAATATCATCGTCATGAACCTCATTAATATCCATCAATAGGCTTTGAAATAATTATTTTGTTTTTATTATATTACTTAAGTAACTACAGAAACATATAAATTTATTATCTTTCTTATACCTATTCTATTTATTTTTAAGTAAAAAAAATATTTCTCTACTCTGGGTTGGAATTTTCTAACAATCTTGATGACAATGATGGCAACTTAAGTAATAAGGTATAATAAAGAAAATGAGTACCTACTTACTCATAGTTTTTATGTTTGCATTAAAAGCTTACTTACCGATGTCTCTGAGATTATGCGATGTTCTTTGAGCACTAGTTAATAATACTAGGGTCATCAGCACAACGCCGGGTATGTTGTTAACAAATATTAACTTCATTTTTAATTACGATCACTTTTTATATTAACAAAAGTTAGAAACGTCTCACTCAAACGAATTCCTTAGCCGCTTAAAAATCAGAATTTAAAATGTAAAGTTTCGATATCAATTTGAATGTTCAAATTTAGAAACTCGATTTCATTTTCGCGCGGACAATGTCGTCGGCCGCGTTCGGGGGAGCGCGTGCGTTGCGGCCTTTGAAAACTAAACTGAGAGACTCCGAGTCAGGTGTAGGTACATGCATAGGTATGTACAGAGAAAGAACTAGCTCATCGCCAGCGGACCGGTCAGTGAATTTAAACAAAACTGCTGCCTTCTTCGTTGCAAGCTTGTTTACTTTAAGGCGGCCCTGTGCGGATGATTAAAATGATAAGTTTTAGCCTGCGAAAGGATTCAACTAGTTATTTATACATATTTAAATTCTAGATGACAAGTAAGAGTAACATATTCTATTTGATATTGAATTATAAATGTAATTTTTTTTTTTTACAGAGATATTAGCGATTATTAGCTTTTTAAACTTTGGTAAAAAGTAAACATCATTATTTATTGTAACAGTCCTGCAATGGTCATCTATTAGATATCAAGTTCATATGATAATTGTTTAATACAGAAATATTAGCGATTAGCTTTTAAACTTTCGTAAAAACGTAAAACTTAGGTGCATAATTATTTATTATAACAATCCTTCAATTTTCATCTATTAGTTCATATGATTGATTTTAAATTTAAAAGAAACGAAATAATTACTTGAATATATATAAATATCCAAATATCCAAACATCGTAATTTTGCATGTAAAAGAACCAGTTTCATATTTAATTGAACCCTGAGGGACCTATAAGTTACATTAATAAAAATAATTAAACTTTAATTTAATGTTATTATGATAATGACAATAATTTTTGGCAGTTGGTGAACTTTTTTATACATTTTATAGACGTATAAAACACATTTAGGTATTTAACACAGATTACCTTTATCAATTGATTACCTACACGTATTAAAAACCATATCACGTAATCATATATGAAACCTTAAAAATATGAAACTGGATATATCAAAAATTTTACACATATATAGGTACCTCATAGTCCCAGGAATGAGGACAAAAATAGAGGCTGACAGAAAAAAGGGGAATAATAGCCATTTTTTGTGTATAGAAAACAAGCCGCTGCAACCGGAGCCAAGAAGGATAAACCAGATTCGGACATATTTAGCCGGTAGGTAGTACATGGGCCATTCCACAAGTCCCAGCTACAATCTACTACTACTAAAAGAGCAACACACAAGTTTCTTGCTTGTTCTTCTTGTGATGAGACAGCTTTCCGAACGACCGGTAGATATAAAAATTTTGTTATGACTATTCAAATGTGCTTAAATTAAGTTTATTTGAATAAATGATTTTCTATTCTATTCTATTTTTTTTTTATACTACTATGGTGGCAATCAAGCATACGGCCCATCTGATGATAAATGGTTACCGTAGCCTATGAACGCCTGAAACACCAGGGGTATCACTTGCGCGTTGCCGACCCTTAAGAAACCTTAATATACCCTTCTTGAAAAACCCCATGCTGTACTCTCGTGGGAAAACCTCGGCAGGAAGTTCATTCCACAATCTAAGTGTACGCGGGAGGAAACTCCTCTGAAACCGCACTGTTCGGGACCACTTAGGTTCCAGTGTGTGGGGATGAATTCCCTGTCGATGGCGAGCGGTGCGGTGGTAAAAGGTGGCTGTCGGCATCATGTGGAACAATTCCTCAGAACACAGTCCGTTGTATAATCGGTAGAATACACAAAGCGAGGCGAAGTCTCGCCTCAAGCTAAGTGGTTCGATACCATCAGAGAAATCGGGATCATCAATAAATTGTTATTTATTCGAGTCAGGACCGAGCGTGTATCCAGGTAGCAGTACTCCATGTGCGGACGAACCTGCGACTTATATAAGAGGAATCTCTGATTCGTAGTGAAGTACCGCTTCGCTCTATTGAGCACACCGAGCTTCTTGGACGCCAGCTGTACAGCTGAGTATTGGTATGATGACATAAGCACAAATACTTGTACTTATGTCATCATCCTACTTGTATCCTGCAATATACATATTTCATTGCCAATGCGATACCTAAAATAGGGGTAGAGTAATGGTAGAGACTACATATATTAATATATTTGACTATTATAGTTGTTGTTACTTTGCGTAAACACAGTAAAATATATCCGTAGATAGTGTCTGGTAATGATAAAACTGAAACTTGAACTGTTTCTCTTTCACGTCATCATGTTTATACTGCTATAAAAAAAAGAGTCTAAAATATAAGAAACTCAATAATTAACGGGTGCCCTGTCACTTGTATCAAATATCCTCTACGTAATACGTATAGCAACGGCACTTATTGGATATAGCATCTTTTACATGAAAATAACAATACAATAATTTAAAAATTCAAAATTCAATGACAAGCAAGACACAGTCCATAATGCAATGGCTAGTCTCTCAGTATACTAAAATTAGTACTATGTCTATAGATATCACCTTTTTAGTTATTTCATCGTGTAGACGAATCCTAGTTCTGGGAAATATATTTATGGTTATTACATTTTCTATGCTGCAGCTGATATATATAGTTTAAATGCCTGTGAAGTACAGGAGTTTGAAGTAGTGAAGTTTTAAATAGAGGAAGAACGTAAGTGAACATGAAATGAATTATGGTTTTCTATATCTATAGGAATTAATGTGTGTACTTGTAATATTTTACTATAATATAAAGTGACTTTCGATTGTCTATTAGAGGTATTCTTTGTTTACATTATAACATGATAGCGCCACCATTGGTTAGCTTTGCATAAACTTCCACTACTAGCTAGTGACTGACGCCATTTTTATTTATACGTCAGTTTACTTTACATCAGTCCAGAAATCAAAGTCGTCGATACAAATTGTTCATAGTAAACGTTACGAAAAATAAAAAATAGTTTATTGCTAATTATGGCCGGATTTACAGAGAACGCTTTAGTCCGTAAATTACAGGACTTAAATTCAAGCCAACAAAGTATTCAAACTTTATCTTTATGGTTAATTCATCACAGAAAACACCACGCCGCAATCGTGAAAACTTGGTATAAGGAACTGTTAAAAGGTACATAACCTAATATTTTTTTGCTAGGTATTTTCTAGAATATCTAGCATTTTGATAAGTAGTTACTTTGCTTTAGAAAAAATATAATAGCGTTATTTTTTATTTGCTGTACTCTATCCTTCAATTTTATTATGAATAGAATAGATGCAATATTATTTTAGCAAATACTATATTTATTTTAAATTTTTTTCTCAATGTTAGAGCAAAGGTTACAAATCTCTCAAGGAGGAAACATTGGTATCAATCTTGTTGGGTTAATTTAAAATTATTGTCTTTTCGATATATAAAAAAATATTGATTACAAACAGAACCATTACAATTATAATTCAATCAGTATTTTCATCATTATATCTTGCTTCCATAATATGAAATAAGGGATGAATTCTAGATTAAACTTTTTCTGTAGTAATATTTTTTTAATAATTCTATATAGGCCATAACTATATAGAATTATTAAAAAATATTAACCATTTTTTTAATTTTATAACAACAGTCTATACTGGGTTCTAGTTTAAAAAATATTGTTTATATATTTTTATTAACCTTTATATTAAAAAATAAATGTATATTTAATATTGAATAATACATAATGATAAGGTATTGTTTAATTAAGTAGTATAGAAGAAGTATCTACATCATAGAGGTAAGTCTCAACAGGTTCAATGTATAAAGAGAAAATTAGTATCAAATACAGCCTTAACATGTTAAAGACTGCATGCCCATTAGTGGGTTGAAACCAATGGGCATGCGGTCGCAATGAAAGTAAATTTACATTTTGGGGCTGGATGATCATCTGTGGACACTTTAATGAAAATAAATCTAGAGGTTAAATAATGTCTACCTGAAATTATTGTACATAAACATATACATAATAAACAATAAAAAAAAATCATCTTCAACATGTTAAAATAAAAAAAAATATTTAGTTACTTTTATGTATGGAAAATCTTTACTGATGTCATTTAGGGAAGTAAACAGGTGAGATCTGTTGGATGTTTACCCATTAAAAATCACCCAATGTACATTTAATATCTGTAGCCTATGCATGGGGTTGCCTTAACTTTCTACCACAACTTCAATTGGAACACCTCACACAATAGGACTCATGAAGTACCTCTTCTCTCTGCCTAGGTTATGTTACAATGTACTCACTGAATAAGGCACATATCCTAATAATATATTCCTTAACAGTCCATCCACTGAGTAACAGCATGGATGGGAACATTTTTTTACTCCTTGGATTATTGAAGTTTTAGTAGGGATCCCTAATTTTTTCTAGTAAAAAATATATCCTATGTTACTCAGGATGATCATATAATGTAGCACTAATGATGTGTAATATAGCATCTAATAAAACTAATGATGACAGAATTTTTGAAATGAGTCCAGTCTTTGAAAATAATAATATCCATTGAGCCCCAAGCTAAGCAGATATTATGTTATGGGTGCTAGATAACTGATGCAAATACTTAATACATTTATTTTTGTAAATACATACATAATATAGATAGAAAACTCCAGTAGTTTTTCTATTTATTCATTACAAACAAAAATATTTTGACTTCAGTAATATTAGTGTTAATGATATCCAAGCAATACTTGTTTCTGAATCCTGGCTAAAGCCTTGTCTCCCTTCCTCTTGTTATACGCTCCCTGGATTTACACTTATACGAAATGATCGTATTGGTAAGGGTGGTGGTGGCGTTGCTATGTATCTCCGTACACAGATTCCCTACAAAATAATTTCCTCTTCCATTAGTACCAATCCCTCTAATGAAGCAGAATATCTCTTCATTGAGTTAATCCTTTCCCACTGTAAAATTCTTCTAGGCGTTTTCTACAGTCCTTCTCCTACTATAGACTACTTCCCCTCATTGGAAACCCTTCTGGAAAAGATTACACCATCCTACGTGCATACTATAGTCATGGGTGACTTCAACACCTGTCTCCTAAAAAATGACTATCGTGCCAATTGTCTTCGGTCAGTGACTAAGGCTTGTAACCTCACCATTTTACCTCTTCATGCTACGCACTACTTTCCCAGTTGCAAACCGTCACTACTTGATCTTATCCTTGTTTCATCTCCTGATCACGTCGCGAGTCATGGGCAGCACAGTGCAGATGCGTTTTCTTTTCACGACCTAATTTTCCTTTCATTTAAAATCCGTCCTCCCAAATACAGACATAAAATTATTATGCAGCGTAATTTTGGCGCTATCGACCTGGATTCCTTGCGTAGAGATACCCTGGCTGCTGATTGGGATTCCATTTACAATGCGACTTCTGTAGATGAGCAGATTAATTTATTTAATAAAAAAATCACAGAGCTATATGACCTCCATGCTCCTGTTCGACCTGTTCGTGTAAAACACTTGCCTGCGCCTTGGTTAACGAAAGAAATAAAGGATATACAAGCCAAGAAAAACAAGGCTAGGGCAAAGTATAAATCCGATCCTGACAAATACCGTGACCAATATATAAAGGCTAGAAACTACTGTAATAAGGTGTGTAGAGAGGCACAACATCGCCACATTCATACATCTGTTGAAAATAGTGATCCGGCTAAAGTCTGGAAATTTCTTAAATCTCTAGGGGTTGGTAAAAGTCACAGTTCCAATTCAAATTTTTTCAATATTGATATAGACCACCTTAATAGGCATTTCTGTTCTTCCGCTGTTTTTGACAACAACACTAAAACGAATACTCTAAATCTCCTTTCTACCATACCAACCCTTAATATTCCATGTTTCAATTTTAGTCCAGTTACCGATTGTGATGTTGAGAAGAGCTTACTATCAATACATTCTGATGCTTTAGGTACTGACGGCATTGGTCGTGCTATGGTCCTTCCTATCCTTGATGTGATCCTTCCAACAATAACCTTCATTTTCAATAACTCATTGTCTTCAAGTGTTTTCCCTTCCAAATGGAAAGATGCTGATATTATTCCTCTTCCAAAAAAATGTAAACCTTCTTCCTTTTCTGATTACCGACCTATCTCCATACTTCCTTTCCTTTCAAAAGCCCTTGAAAGAATTGTTCATAATCAACTGAACAAAATCCTTTCCATAAATGACATCCTAAACCCTTTCCAATCAGGTTTTCGGGCTGGCCATAGTACGACTACCGCTCTACTTAAAATCACCGACGATATTAGATATGGTATGGAAAATTCGCAAGTGACAGTTTTGGCATTCCTAGATTTGAGTAATGCATTTAACACCGTTGATATCGATGTCCTATTGGCTCGCATGCGTTCAATCAACATATCTCCAACGGTAACTGACTGGTTTCATAATTACCTGTATGGGCGTCGGCAGCGTATACGCGTTGAGAATACCCATTCCTCGTGGTGTCAAACTTCTGCCGGCGTACCTCAGGGTGGCGTCTTATCTCCGCTTCTTTTTGCGTTATTTATTAACTCCATTACTATGCAACTTCATTCCTCCTACCACCTTTACGCAGATGACCTCCAGATCTATTCGCAATCTCCATTAGATGATATTGACATTGCCATAGATACGATTACTGCAGATCTGGAACTCATATCCAACTGGTGCAAAAACTTCGGTTTAACACTGAACGCCTCAAAAACACAGGCCATTATTATTGGTAGTCCACGGTATATTGGTAGAATCAATTGGTGCACCCTACCTCGAATAGTGTTAGACGGTACGTACATTGAATATAGTGATAGTGTTAAATACCTAGGCATTTACTTTGACAGGACATTGTCTTGGTCTGTTCAGATTGCTGAAGTTAGTCGCAAGATTTTTGCTGCCGCGGGATCACTCAGGAGGTTGGGCAACCTCTTGCCGGTCAACATCAAAATTACGCTTGCGCATACCCTACTCCTTCCTATACTTGATTACGCTGATATCTGCTATCTGGACCTCACCGAAGACCAATTAAACAAACTTGAGCGTCTTCAAAATTTCTGCATCAGGTTTATATTTGGACTTCGCAAATATGACCACGTTTCACATTATCGTTCACAGCTCAAGTGGCTCCCTGTTCGCCTTCGCCGTGACTGGCATATACTCTCTCTTCTTTACTCCATTCTTTTTAATCCTGTTACTCCTAACTATCTTAAAGAAAGATTTTCATTTCTCGGAGAGGCACAAAACCATGGCTTGCGTAGTGCATCAAACCTCCTCCTTAAAACTCCTTCACATAGTTCCTCATTCTACAGTAAATCCTTCTCAGTCCATGCTGTTCGCCTTTGGAATTCTATACCTTACTCCATTCGTAGCGCACAATCACTACCCATTTTTAAGAGCTCGGTTAAATCCCATTACCTCTCCACTTAAATCTCCCTGTATTCCTTCTTGCTATGTGTCTTGTTTCTTTGCATATGACATTGTTGTTTTGTACTTGTATTTCTGTGTATTTATATATTTATATATGTATGTATATATTTTATATATAGTATATATAATGTGTGTTATTTTCTAATATTTATTGGTATTATTATCCTATCCCTATTATTACGTTTATATATATATTCTTCCATTCTATTCATGCGCCACCTACCACTTTTGTTGTATTTTCTCTACCTAAAGGTTGTCTGGAAGAGATTGCTTCTAGCGATAAGACCGCCTTTTGTACTTCCATATCTCTTTTCTGTATAATTCTTATGTATTAATTCTATTGGTGCAATAAAGAGTTTATAAATAAATAAATAAATTAGTGTTGATTTCCCAATAGCAAGACATAAAGAATAAAATAAATATTTTAATGAAGTCCATTAGGGAAAAAAAAATTATAATGTAAAAACTTGATGTTCATAAGCGGCTAAAATGTCCTACATGAATAAATGATTTTTTTATTTTGAATACAGACATGTAACTCCTGATATGTATTTTCAGCGAAAGATACAAAACAACTCACATTTATGTACTTAGCTAATGATGTTATACAAAATAGCAAAAAGAAAGGCCCAGAATATGGAAAAGAATTTGGCGAAGTGCTTGTGGATGCTTTCAAACATATGGCGCAGACTGGTATAAATGCAAAAACTAAGACATCTATACATAGGATACTGACTATATGGCAGGAGCGAGGTGTTTATGATGCTCAAAAGATACAAGATTATAAGGAAGCAGGTTTGATATATATATTTTTTTAAAGTACTTAATTTAAATGGCAAGTAAGCTGATAGACCATCTTATGGTAAGTGATATCGTGTATAAATGAACATCACTGCGACATTATGTTGTATGTGACACTGTTGATAATCAGATATTCATAAAAATATTTAGATACTAGCTTTACCCGCTATTTCGTCCGCATAACTTTAATTTTCAAAAGTAAAATATTTTTTCTTTAATGAAAGTAGCCTAAGTTAAGCCTTACTACATCAGCTACCTGCTAATAAAAGTCCCGTCAAAATCGGTCCAGTCATTTCAGAGATAGTTATAGCCGGAACAAACAGACAGACAGACAAAAATTGTATTTTGGTGCATGTACCTTATTTATATTTATATGCATAAAGTAAAAAAAAGGTTATTTCAATATTACAAATAGACACTCCAATTTTATTTATATGTATAGATAATAAAATCTAAACAGTAGAAGCTGTCTGTTTGTAAGTTTGTGGGGTACACAATTAAAAGATCTTCGATTTTCAAAATATGTGGACTGTATTTCAATTTGTTTCTTATTCTATGGGTCGGCCGGCCGGAGTGGGGTTTTCTTGGTCGTTGCGCCGGCGGTGGTTCTTCGTCGGTGGCGTATGCGTAAGAGAGCGCGATCGAGAACCAACCCGCCTTTTACGGGCGCCCGAGCGCGTCCTTCCCCACCCCCGCCGAGCCGTGCGCGTCGGCCGTCCCACCCTCCCGACAATTCCTGCACATGTCGGTGACCGACGGGCCGGAACAGCGAATACGCACACATTTAAAATTAAATACAATAGTAACAACACAAAAAACTACAAAAAACCACGTGCGACTAAATGCCACATGTTCAGGCTACACTAAAGCTGTGATCCCTAAGAATTTACACAATGGGCGGACATAGAATTCACAGTATCTATGCCGCTACAAAGGGTATATGGTACAAACAATAGTCTAACCTAAACAATAGTCAAAACACTGGAAAAATACAAATTTATTTACATATTTTCGATGCCGACTCGTGGTCCGCAACAGCCTCCCCCCGGCGCAGATCTTCGCAGCCCTTATCCCTAGGGAGGACCACCAGCCTTCGGGTCGGCCTTCGAAAAATTCCCTCGCGTTCGTCCGTCCGTCCGCGTTCACCGCAACGCCACTTGACCCATTTCCCCGCTTCGGCGGGGCGCTCCCGGCCCAGCTTCCATGCCCGTCGCCTGTATTCTTCTGCGACCAGCAGCACCTGTGCCGGAGTCCTCCTCACTCGGTCATATGAGGAGAACCGCATTCTGTCCATTACGGGCTTTGCCTTCGCCCGGACACGGGCTACTGTCTCTGCAGGGACGGGCTTGCTTTCCTTGGGTCGTTCTTTCTCTGGAGCGTATACAAGCGCCGGCCCGACGGATCTGTCGGCGGCGGTCCGTATTGTATATCTCGCGCGGGTCGCGTCGTTAGTTACGTCGTGGGCGGTCGGTACCCAGCGCCACTGTGTTGGTTTGTATGTTCGGCGCTTTCTGCCATCCGGCGGGCCGTGTGTGGATTGTATCGAGCGGTGTCGTTCCTAGTCCAATGTAGCGTCTTCTTCGAGACCGTCCATAGGAAGACTTCGGCCGCGCGACGACGTCCTTTCAGTACGTCAGCGGCCAGTCGGGGTCCTACCAGGCTCGCCTGAAGCTCCATCCGGGGTATACTCTGCGCTTTCATGGGCGCTACCCTCGCTTTGGCTGCTACTAGGACTGCGTCAACGCTACGATCCCCGCGTTCCGTCCTCCAATACGCGGCTGTGGCATATGCCTGTTCGCTTGCGTCCGTGAATACGTGCAGTTGCGACCGTTGGCTGTCGTTCGTGCCATACCATCGCGGCAATCTTAGTTCCTCTATATACGCTAGGTCGTCTCTCCATTCCTGGAACGTCCGCGCTTCCTCGGCGAGCAGAGGGTCATCCCATTCGACCTTCTGCACCCACAGCGCCTGCAAGATGATTTTTGCCGTGATGGTGTAAGGGCTCAGCAGCCCGAGCGGGTCGAACAATGACATCACCGCTCCTAGGGCTTCCCTTTTCGTCGGTATCCGTGTGCCGTGCTTCACTTCTCGTGGGACGCGTGGCATGCCGGTGTTGAACGCCAGCTGGTCTTCGGCTGACATCCACAATAACCCCAATGTCTTTCCGTATGGATGTGCGTTGGCTCCCAGTTCCTTCGGCGTCCTCGCTCGCTGGTCCTCACTCACATTCTCTAGCAGGCTCGGTCGGTTTGTATTCCAACCCGCCAGCGTGAATCCTATCCCGCCATGAACCTCTGCTACCTCTCGTATGGCGCGGGCTGCTTCCTCTTCGGAGTCAAAGCTATCGACCCAGTCGTCCATGTAGTGGTTCCTTGTTATGGCGGTGTACGCTGACGGGTGCGACTTCGGTGCTCTGCCGCGTTCCTGTCTCGAACGCTGTGTGCGATGAACGGTGAGCTCCTCGCCCCGAAAATCATTGAGGTCATTACGTATTTCTGCGGCGGGTTAATCCTGTCATCTCCTCGCCACAGAAACTGTTGTGCTGCTCTATCTTCTTCCCGTATCTTAATCTGCAGGAACATCTCTCGTATGTCCGCCGTGATAGCTACGGGCTTCTCGCGGAAACGGTATAACACACCGTTAAGCGACCGTAGCATATCTGGCCCATCCAGCAGTGCGTCGTTCAAGCAAATTCCCTTCGAACGGGCCGCGGCGTCGAATACGAGTCGCAGCTTTCCGGGTTTATTCGGATTCGTCACTCCGAAATGGGGAAGGTACCACGCGCGGTCGTTGTCGAACCGGTCGTCGGTTACTTTCTCGGCGTAACCCTTGTCCAACAACTTGTTTATCTCCGCGGTATACGCCAGCCGGAATTCCGTAGAGCGATCCATCCGCCGCTCTATTCCCCTCAGTCGGCTCGCTGCCATGTCGTAGCTGGGAGGTAGAATGACGTTATCTCTCTCCCACGGCAATCCTACGACGTATCGCCCATCCACTCTCGTCGCTGTGCAGTTGAATGTGGCGACGGCGCGCTCCTCCTTAGCGATGGGTAATCTCTTCGACGATATACCCAACGCGTCGATGTCGTAATGCGCTTTTATTATGCCCTCTATATGCCGCATGTCTGGCTCGGCGTTGCGCTGTGTCAACCGCACGTGGAGGACATGTTCCTCGTCTTCCACGACACTTCTGGGTACCGTTCCGTGGATGACCCATCCCAGTCGTGTCAGCGACGCTGCGGGTTGATCGTGCCTTCCTGTGAGCAGCTTCCGCGTAACAATCAGATGCCAGTTGTCTGACCCGATCAAGACCTTGGGTCTGGCATCTTCGTAGCACACTTGCTCGCAAGTGAGTTGTCGCAGGTGTCCGTACGCGAGTATTTCCGGGTTCACTCGCTGCGTTCCTAGGGTGAGATCCCGGATCGTACGCGCCCTCACCGAGTGTTCTTCGTCCGTATGGTGTCGCCCTCTGATGATGACATCAGCCACTCGGCTTGAGGCTTCGTGCCAGCTCGAGGCCGCTCCCTGAATTCTCAGAGATCGCGTCGGACCTTCGGCTCCGATCTGTTCTGCGATCTCCGCATCGATGAGTGTAACCGTCGAGCCTTCATCTAGCATCGCGTACGTCTCTACTTCGCGTCCCGTCTTGCCTTTCACGATGATGGGACACACCTTTAACAACACTTGGCTGTTCTCTGGCAAGCGTGCTGCGGCTGTAATCGCGGTGTCCTCTTGCCGCTTCGGCGGCTCTTCTGGGGGTGCAGCAGGGCGTGGTGTGGCTTACGACACTCTCTCACACCACATTTGCGTGCCTTACACTTGAACCTTCTGTGCGTGCTGTTCATGCATTGGAAGCACATCTTATTTGTTTTCGCCCACTCCCATCTGTCCGATAACGACATGTCGTTCAGCTTCTTACACTTCGGCGTTACGTGTGCGGCGCCGCAACAGAGACATTCGGTACTCTGTTCGCTCTTTTCTACGGCGGCGTATACGGCCGCGCCACGATCCGTCATCTGTCGCCGAGGTGCCGACATCGTTGCTTTCGGTATGGGTTGCCTAGTGGGTTGCTTTGGGGGCTGCTTCGTGGGTAGCGCGCTCGTTCGTCTCGTTGGTGATGCTATTCGCAGATGTCGGGTCATGAGATCGGCTTCGCTCATTAAAAACTCTGCCATCTTGATGATCGTAGGTCTAGTGTCCTCCTTGTTTTTTTCAGCGTAGTGACACCAGTGGACCTGTAAGTGAGGGGTCAGCTTCTCTGACACTTCACTCTCAAGCGCGGGATTATGTAGGAATCTCGCCCCCCTGTCGATATCCGCGACGATGGTGGTGATGTTCTGTAGTTTAATGGCGAAGTCAATCACCTCTGTTGTCGATGTTCCTATTACCGGCATCCTTCTCAGATCTTTGAGGGCGCGGTCGATGATGGCCTCTGTCCGGCCGTACCGCTGCTCCAACGTCCTCATGATCTGCGACGGTTCTGTAGCGGATACGAGTAACGCTGCTACTGTCTCTCTCGCTTTTCCATGTAAGCAGACCCTCAGCCTGGCCAGGTTCTCCGCTGGTGTGATCCTGTACGTTTTTGTAGACTGGTCTACGGCCGCCTTAAACGCTAGCCATTCACTTGCTTCGCCGCTGAAGGTCGGGAGATCTTGGGCTTGCCTCGGCGCTACCCTATCCGCTCGTTCGTCCACAGCTCGTTCAATAGCTTTGGCCAGCCGGGTGAATCCTTCTTGCATCCCGGCTTCAGGAGCGGGGGACCTCCGTCTTTGCTTCGGCGTCCTCGGCGATGAAGCTTGCCTTTCTGTTGGCTCTTTCTGCGTAGGCGGTGGGGAATTAATTCTCTGCTCCCCCCGTACTTCGGTACGTTGAAACCAATCCGTTATACGTTGCAGGCCGGCACCTTCCTCGGAGCACACGCTATCTCTATCGGTCTCTTCATGTACCGCGGCGACATCGGCTGCCAACTTCTTTCTAATTAAATCAGCCTGTAATTTCGCCATCTGTAGCGCTGCCTCGTACTCCAGCCTCTTTAATTTAGCTATACCGCTAGCGGTAGAGCGGCGCGATCGCACCGACGCGGCCCGGGCCGGACGTACATCTGTCGTCGGCGGCTGCGACGGTGGCGCCGGTGCGGAGTCCGAGGTAAACGCGGCGCGGGCGGCTTGTACCTGTGGCGCGCTCGACGGCGCGGCGGACGCGGACATCTGCGTGGTTTCTGAAGGGGACGCTTCTGTCTGTTCATTTTCCCGCGTGGTCTTTTTCTCTGCTCCCGGGGCTTGGCTTCTCGTAGTCGGCATCGTGTTCTGGCACTTGCAAGCCCCTAACCTACCGGTCCCTACCTACCTAACCGTCCCTAACAATCCCTCAGGATAACACCCGAGGGGATGGACTATGGGGATAGGAGGGTAGGAATTACCCCGCAGTGGTGCGTATGTACAGACGGGGCGCTCAGGGCCGGTTCGGACTTTCCGACCCCTTTGGCAGTGCCTACAGTCCGGCCCCCGCTATACGATACACACGTACAGGCGTAATAGTGCTATTCGGTTGCGCCACGGTAACAAGCAACAACCGGCAGTGACACACCACCCACTGCACCGCTCAATGGCGTTAACCCACACTCCGACCGTTTGACACCGTTAGGTGGTAAGAGATGTGAGCCGCGGACACACCGCTTAGACGTTATCTATCCTATATGGCGTAGACGTTATTTATCCTATCCTCGCTGCACCCTCAAGTTTTCACCTTACGACGGCAGCTAAATTCGGTAAGCTGCTAGCGTCGCACCGTTGGGTGATCTTCCTCGGCGAGGTACGTCGCACCGTTGGGTGATCTTCCGCGGCGATTCGTCGCACCGTTGGGTGATCTTCCACGGCGATTCGTCGCACCGTTGGGTGATCTTCCACGGCGATTCGTCGCACCGTTGGGTGATCTTCGGTCTTGATATGCGGCTGCGATGGACCACAAAATTGTGGGGTACACAATTAAAAGATCTTCGATTTTCAAAATATGTGGACTGTATTTCAATTTGTTTCTTATTCTATGGGTCGGCCGGCCGGAGTGGGGTTTTCTTGGTCGTTGCGCCGGCGGTGGTTCTTCGTCGGTGGCGTATGCGTAAGAGAGCGCGATCGAGAACCAACCCGCCTTTTACGGGCGCCCGAGCGCGTCCTTCCCCACCCCCGCCGAGCCGTGCGCGTCGGCCGTCCCACCCTCCCGACAATTCCTGCACATGTCGGTGACCGACGGGCCGGAACAGCGAATACGCACACATTTAAAATTAAATACAATAGTAACAACACAAAAAACTACAAAAAACCACGTGCGACTAAATGCCACATGTTCAGGCTACACTAAAGCTGTGATCCCTAAGAATTTACACAATGGGCGGACATAGAATTCACAGTATCTATGCCGCTACAAAGGGTATATGGTACAAACAATAGTCTAACCTAAACAATAGTCAAAACACTGGAAAAATACAAATTTATACACAAATTTATTTACATATTTTCGATGCCGACTCGTGGTCCGCAACAAGTTAATGATTCACTTAAAAATCTAATCATAATTAAAATATTTATATAAATTAATTACATATGTACATAGATATTGTTCAGTTCTTTATGTAATACAGTATTGTTGTCACACTTCCTACTATGGTTTTTATTTCTATCTAAAGGAGAGTTGGTAGAGAATGCCATAAGTATAGCTAAAGCACGCCATTTGTACAATTTGTAAATAAGAATCTGTTTCCTCAATTTATGGCTTGCATTTTCAGTGGATCCTAATGACGCAATCCCCAAAAAAGTGAGCAAGCGTAAATCTGTGGAAAATAATGAGCCAAAGGAGGAAAAGAAGAAGCCTAAATTGGACAAAGAACGGCACGAGAGACGTCGTAGCGAGACCAAAGTGGAGGTAGACGGACAGATTGAAACTCACACCACCCTCAGCCCGAAGACTCCACCTGGAGATCCTCCTGAACCTGAGGAATTAATCAAGGTAATGCTTCATTCAAATAACTTACTGGTTGCAGTGCAACCAGTACTATAGCTATTATTATACCCCGTTTATTAAGTGTCGGATTATACACTGACTGGACTGTTGTAAATGATATTTTGTGTAAATTTGATTGATTGTTCCTGGATGGTTTGAAAACAATTGAAACTCGTAGGTGAACTTGGGTTTTCGCATATAATAAATAATCAGAAAGTAATTCTGATTAGGTAATACTCAATATAAGTAATTGAAAAATATCTCCATATCACTATGAGACTGTGGCGTAATTTATTTATCATGAATTTGCCTTTTCTATCGACAATAACACGTAACAGAATGTCTGCGCTACGTGACGCCGTAAATATCACGTTTCGGTCTCAATTTAATAATTGTCACGTAAACTTACATTAAGTAATTTGTAATTATTTACTTATATAATGTTTTTGGTATTGTGTTCTGGGTGACCTGACCGCCCGCTAAACGGGTCCGAATCGAAATGTTTTCGTACAATACGATTCGGACGAGAGGAAATGAACCCGCAACCGTCAGTGAATTGGTGGGCTAAACCGGCTAATGGGCTAAACTACCTAAGTCGTCAAAAATTTAGATTTCTGAAAAGGAAATTTTAACAAATTCTCCTACAAATATCAATGTCTCATCACCCGTATCAAATTACTGTGCCTATAATTTATAAAGAATGGTACTTCCGTCGCGAAAGGCAGGCAGTGTGTTGTATTTATTTTATAGGTTAAATTGTATTCCACTGCTACAAAGTATTCCCCCCAGGTCATCTAACCTCTAATCTAAAGATCCACACAAGTGCGTCGAGGTGCAAAGGCGTCCCTAAACCTGCGTTCGCGTGAATATGCGACCATGATACTGTTAAGCGACCTATATAATTTGCATGCATCGTCATACTTTACTTATTAGACGGAAACTGTATTAGATTTTATTATAGTTAATTATTTATATATTATCAGTGGTTGGTTATATATTTTTAGACTGTAATAATAATAACCCAGCCGTCTGCATGGGTGAATGTCACCTAATTAGCCGCCAAGCAGCTTTGAAAGCTGTGTTTCGGTTGTAGGGTGCAGATTATGCAGTCAAATTGTAAGATAAGAGGCATGATATCTTAGTCTTCTGGAATGGCAATGCATAAGTGGTATCACGGGTGTCTTATGATAACGTGATGTCCGTAGTGATATTCATATATATATAGGTGTCGGTTACTGCTTACCATCAGTTTGAGTTCCATTACATATAAAAAAATTAAAAACGAAACTTTTTTTTTCAGGCTCTTCTGGAACTGGAATCCAGTGCATCCAGCGACGAGGCAGTGCGAGAACGGATCGCTTCACTACCACCCGAAGTCTCCGAAGTGCAATTATTGTCTAAGTTAGAAGGTAAAATATTATATCACAGCAATCTTGTGAAAGTTTTACACAAACACGATTTGTTCAAATACCTACACAATAAAATGTTGTTGAATGGAAAAATGTGCCTTTGTTTCATTTCATTCTAAGTGCCTATCGGTAGGCAGGGAGTTACATCAACTCATCATTTTACCAGTCTCCTCTGAAATAACTCTTCATAATAATAGTCGTTATGGTAAATGTATTATTTTGGATTTCGGTTCCATTTATATATTTTTTTTATTAGTTTAGCACTGGCCGGATTTATTAAAATACACAATTTTATAAATATATATATTAATTTCTGATGTATTGTATATAAATTGTCTATTTATGTGACATTGAATTATTTCATATAATTCTATATTTAAAGATACTAAATTCACTTAATGTTTTTTCAACTGCTCAACTGAGTATTTATTAACTTATTTATAATGCGACAATAAAATTTTTGGCCTACATATTTCATAAGATAATATGAAATTGAGACACCAGGTTAAACTGCATATTTAGCTTTGCGAACAAATTATTCCTCGCTGTGGTTAGTTGGAACAAATTATATAATTTATAGACATTTATTTTAGATAAATACATTTAATATATTAAAACACCATATTATCTTGTTTTCGAAGGAAAACATATCTCTATATTTAGGTCCATACAAATGCAAAAATATATTTTATTATATATAGTCTTTCTTTGCATATTTTAAGGATTTAAATCTGGTCACTCAAGATGTTGGAAGTAAGAATGTTAAATACTACTACTATACTATAGTTGTATAGATATAATATGTACGAGAATGTTTGAAAATAGCATCGTGCTATGATGCGAACTATATTAGATTTTATTTTCGCTTGTCGCTGATAGTAGTTTTAACAACTGTCAGCTTGTCTACTTTGGAAACTAATTCCGTTTTGCACCTTTTTTATACAATTATTCAGTAGCAACATATTAGTTTAATATTATATTGGTTAATGAGGGAACCCACTAACAAATTTATTCGGTTTGGTCTTGATTACGTTTCAAAAGTACAAATATGGATTGTATTCAAATTTATATTGAGAATAAACTGCATAGATAGATCTGCTGAAACATAGAATAGTACTTCTAACCATACAATTTTATTGCTTATAATTAACTTCACGTAGGAGATAGTTGAAATAGCAAAATATTTTTTAAAACTATCATATATACTTTTGTAAAGCTACTGTTTAATTTTTACGATTCACAACTGTTGTTTTAGACATGTTATACTTTGATTATCAGACTTTGTGTACTATGTTTAATAATGTAACTATGTAAACACCTCACCTCACACGCATTAGGTGCTCAGTATCGAAAGCAATTTTTTCTCCTAATAGTTTAAAATACAATGGCATTAAAATTAATTTCTTAATAAAAATAATATGGAAATGTTTGATAATATTATTATATTTATAAAATAAGGATTGATGACTAGGATGTTTAGTGGCCTATTTCTCTGTACATAAATGTCCGTTATTATAACACAAAAACATTAACATTTATATAATGGGGAATTGCGTGTTAAATAAAAAGAAAACATAAATCCTTGTCTGTGCACTCCATTAAACATGGAATCTGCTATTAATGCTCATAATATGTAATAAATCAATTGTTGTATACAGTAGACAGACTGACAGACAAACTTATTTTGTTTTAGATAAGGAATCAGCTCTAAGTCTCAGTGCGGTTGTGAACTCCGCCGTAGAACTTCTGGCCGAGTATAACCTGAGGCTTTCTGATGAATTGGAGAAGAGACGGAAAGTGGCAGCTATGCTAAGAGACTTCGCACAAGCACAACGGGATCTCGCTAAACAAGCGGAGACCAGGCTAGAGGTAACAATTATATTTTATTTATTTACTAGCTGTGTCCGCGGTTTCACCTGAGATAAATTTCAATAAGAATTATAGCATATGTGTTATTCTGGTGCATAAGCTATATTACTGCAAAGTTTCATGAAAGTACGTTCAGTTTTTGCGAAGATTAGAAAACCAACAGCATACAATCCAATACATAAAATCAACAGTAAATTTCTAGAGAAAGTAACACAAATCGATATAATGAGGATCAAAACTTGAAATTTAAAATCCACCCATTATTACGTTACTTACCTAGGTAATGTAAAATATAAGTTTCCGTTAGAATAGGTTACGAATTAATAAAAAAAATAGGAATAGGTATAGGTACAGCTGCAGTAAATAACGATAACCGTTTATAATACGATATAAAAAATAAGAACAAGAAACATATATATTAGATGAATCATACGATACTTTATAACTAATAAATATAAAAGTACATCAATATATAAATATATTAAAATACTTGCATATGATTTACAGGAATACAATATAAAACTACAGAAGATATACGCAGTGAAATCAGAAGTTAAATCCCACATAGACAACTTACCCGACGTGTCACAACTACCGGACGTCACGGGAGGCCTGGCGCCGCTGCCCTCCGCCGGGGATCTCTTCAGTGTCTGAGGAAAGTTTGTACTTCATTGTGTTTCTAAGAATAAATACAGGTGAAATTGAAGTTATAAATACTATTTACAATTATTAATGGTTCATGATGAATGTAACATGGACCATTCTTAAATGCAAATAGTGAAATCCATGATGTTGTCATTATATTACGGAACGAAAGTACTTTGAACTTATAAACACTATTTAAAATTAATAATAGGCATATATAATTTTATTGGCAGCATATTTCTGAATAAATTAAACAAAGATTAGCGATAATTCTGAGATAGTGGAAGGCTGATTTGTTAGTAATGCTCACCAATGATTATTACGACAAATATTGAATTAATCACAAAATAAAATATACACTGTTTTAAACTTATCTCTCATCTGTTTACAATCACATATGTGAGATATTTATTGTGATAATATTATTTATAACTCATGGTCGACTAGAAATTGGAGCGAGGAGCAGAACAGGAGGCAATAAATAATTTTAATTTGGAAAATATCCCGTTTACATAATGTTTACAACAGTAAAATAGGAAATCCGCTATATAATGCTATGATGGCATACATAGACGTTACGTAATATATAACAATTATTTCAATTTTAACCTGTATCCTGGTAATGAAATTTTCCCTCGAATATTGTAAGTAATCACTTGACAGATTATCATATAAACTTTGAATATCTATATTGTAAATGCCTTTAGATTTAATAATATTAAGTAACGATAAGGATTGTCAATACTAGTTTGATATATTCTTACACAAAAAAGTAATGTTCGGTACAAATGAAGCAATATTTATTAAATAGGTCAGTTCCTGTATTTCATAGATCAGTGTTTAATCACATGTGGTTTATTTAAATACTATAATAGCTATTACTAGGTCACTCTAATATATAGTTATACAAAGCACTGCAATTTTAAATGCATATTTTCTATGAATTCTTAAATTGTCTTTTAATTGAACTCGCAAATAAAGTAACTTTAAATATTTTTCTGTAAACTCGTAATAGAAAACAGTACGGTTAACACAACTGATGTACTTAATCTTTAAACGAATTTAGTTACACTATGTTTTTATATAAACATAGACTAAATAACTTATTCGGACAATACTTCAAACTTGTATCTTATTAAATTGTTTCAGTTATAGGTCAACTCTATATATTTATCTTTATCTGTATTAGTATGTGTCGATAAAATAGGTACTCCGTTTTAAAAACTTGTCTTGTATTATATTGTAAAATACTACAAAACTGCATATATGTAAAAATAAATAAACTAAATATATATATATATATAAAACCATATGTTCTGGTATAGTAATCTTTATAATAATTGATAATCTTTATCTAAGCCATAGTAAAAATATAAATAGCTATACCCAAACATACCGACCAGATGCAACATAGTGTATTTTTATTGTCTATTCGTTTGCCTGAAAATATTATATTATTAGGAGTTGTAATTATTCCAAATATGACTGACAGTAGGTTTTAATAAATACTGGACTAATAGAATATGACAAAATATAATTCGGTTGCATGCGATATATCTAGTAACTGTTTAGTCATTTTAATTTGAAAGTTGTATACAATTATTAACACTACATTAAGGTACATTTTGTCTTTTGGAAATTGTTAGATTTCAACATTATGTTCTATTAGTCCATACTTTATATTCATCTAATATGTTCTTTATAAGTATATATATAGATATATATGAATAGGTTATTTGAGTAGTCAAAAATAATTTCAAGCTTCGATAGCATGAAAATATTTACGTCATAGATCTATCAATTCGATATGGATAACTAAGAAAAATGCATGATACACATATATCCTATACAACGGTTATTGGCTTATATTTTTCACATATTTTAAATTAATAGCGAATATTGAGATATTTATATACAACTATTTTTAGTGATTTGTATAGTATGCTAACGTGAGATGCTGTAACGATTGTGCCTTAACGCATTTCTGTTAAGGCCCAAATTATAATTAATTCCGCTTGTAGATTATATATGGGATAGCATACTTTTGTTATTGTGGAGTACCGCTTATACTGAACGTTAAATATTAATAAGTCATTATATATCTAGATATATTAATCCTATTCTAAAGCAAAGTAAACATATTAAGAAGGACATAAATAAGGTTTCTCGACATGTAGCCTCATGCAATTTTGTAGCTTCTAGTATTGTCTATAGAGCTCATTTTATCATCTTGTTATCACTTGTCCGCGACAGTCTGAAGTAACAGGATATATCGTTAGGGACTATATTACACATTTTAGCATGAATTACAGTTATATAACATCGATGTTTTCCTAAGATTTCACATCTTAGGAACAACGAGTCATTAGTATCTTTTCGTAGTAATAATATTTTGTCTGTGGTTATAATCAGGTAAATTTAATCCAATCGCTCACTTGTTCTAAACCTCTTTTTAAACACTCTTAATTGTTGTTTATTATAATTGCACTAGAGAAGTTAATTACATTATAAAGTTGCTCAACAGTCTTTACGAGCAGTTTCGTACGTTATCATATTTATATCGTCTTACGACATACGAGATATAATTCTAAACTTACATTTTCAAATTTTGAAACAACATTTTCCTTTTCTTATCTTATTATTTCCTTTTCTTATATATTATTATTCTTTTCATATCTGCCTGTAACGTAACGTTCTAGTTGCAATTGTTTACGATAGCTTATTATCTCATCATCTCTTCCATATGAATCTGCTCAGTAATTGTATTATAATGTATAAGTATGAATGAATGGAAGCTTATTTATTTCTCAATATCTACAAAGTTCGTTTAAAAGTATTGTTTGTTTGTAAAGTGGGTATTTATTTCTTTTATTACGTCTGTATGAAAGATGACGGAATAGTGTTCCTGCGTGCTGTCATAATATACACAGACGGCTCAATCCAGTAGAATGAAAGAGTTGAAATGACGTTAGGTCAATTAGCACATCGTGACTTACTAATAAATCACCATGCTTTATAGAGAAGATTGCTAGGAAGTCGATCTGATCCCAGCAATGGAGCCACTAGTACTAGTATTTTCCCAAATTCCCCCTATATCTTGATTTACCAGTGGTAGTTTCAAATGGTTTCGGGGAGGAGGGGATTTTTACTAATGGGTGGCCTCATTGCTTGTAATGTATCATGTCATATCGACTTCCACGCGTTCTCCTCTGGGAATAATCCCTATTGGCTGACTGACCAAACTTCATGCTCGTTTTATTCTTCACTCCCACACTGGCAGGGTACTAGTGGAAGACGATAAGTTAAGAATTGAGGCAGGTCATTTAGCCCATTGTAACGAATTTACTATGACAGTTTTCCATATTCGTGCAATGAAATTTTAATAAATTAATAATTAAGCTCCAGACCGATAGAATATTGATAATTAATCGTATAACACAAATAGTGTACTTTTTCGCATTGTATCGAATGAAATATTGTATTAGCATCACAACGTTGATAGGAACAATTTCATACAGTGAGTGTTACATAAACAACCTGCTGATTGACTTTATCAAATAGGTTCGAACTTAAGTACTTTTTTAGTTTGTTCTGTTCAAAGCTGTTTAGTTTAATATATGTAGGATTCAATTTACTGATTTCGCATATCCTTGTATACTTTGTAAAGTTGTAACGGTTTTATTAGGTTGAAAATGCTAAATTTTAGTATAATAATACGTCATATACAACTGAGAGAATAGGGACGTAGTAGATAAAATTTCAATGTTATGTATATATATACTGCAATTTTAAGTTATAGAGCAGTAGAAATATTTCCGAATTTAACATCTTGAGCATGACATCACTGTATATTGTACACACTAGGCAGGTAGGTAATTATGACGGTACCATATCACCAACAGACGGGCCCTATGCAGGATTAAGCCCTATTAGGATAAAAAGCGTTAGTCGGGGTTTGGTGTGTATTTAAAAAATAATATTATGTTTAGTTCAGTAGTGTAGTAATACACAATATACCTTATTGACGATAAATTTTAAATCAATTAATTTTAGAGGTTAATTTGTGTTTTTCTTTTTCTTTCGACGATTTGTTTGTTGTTACTATGATTTTTGCATTGTCATCACTATAAAGTTAGATGTAATTTCCTATGTTTAACTTCTCTTAAAGATTACAAAATAAGGTTGCCAATGTATGTTATATAATTTATTCTCAGAATGAATAAACGAAACAAATAAAAGAAAACTATGGTTTCTTTTGTGCGGTTTATTGATGTATGTATTTTAGGCCAAAAAGTAGAATAATTCTGCGTGAAATTAGTGTTTATTTGGCTAGTTATCACAATGTTGTGTACGGCTAGATATTATAGCTATATTAAAGTATTTTGTTATATTAACAATAATGTTGTTTTATTTCACTATTGTAGATTTTGTCTATGTATTTTATCACTTTTTATCCCTTATGCATTGGATACTATGGCAGATAATATCTATCTTTTTGTATATGGGAATGAAATTGGATAATTCTAAAGCCCAAGTAGTACGTATCTATCTACCATGTATGTAACATAAAATCTTTTTCGTTTACTTTAGCTGCTATTAAAAAAAATATTAGTTACCTCTTTTACTCTATGATGTAACATAATTATTAATTTGACATTTATACACGAGTTTATGAAGTATTTTAAAAGTTTAATCATTATTTTAGAATACTCTTAATTGTATTAATTCAGGTTATAAACAAAATATTTCAGGTTATAAATAAAATGAGCGAAAGCACAGTAAGTACAAAATAGTATCAGAAGTCATTAAATAATTTACTGTGGTTTTGTTACATTGAGAAACTTTTATTTCATAGAGTACGCGAACGAACACACAGACAAATGATACGGAATCAACTGAAAATCCGCTGGTAAGATGACTGCTGGCGTTCTTATAGACATTGTTAAGAATATTTGTTTATAGTGTAGTCAATTGATATCCTAGGTCAGGTTTTTAATACTGATGACTACAAAATACTCATTCAGATCCATTTGATATATGTATGTAAGGATTCAATGAAACTTCTATAAAACTAGTGTTCAACTATAATATTGTATCTATAAATTGAAGAAATAAATAAATACTTCTTTCCCATTTCATTGGCGCCTTGTGAAAAGTTTATTGATTCGCTTACAATGTATTGGGCAGTAGATATCTGTAGTAAACTAAAATTACAATAAATTACAATAGATATCTATTGTAATTTTAATGTCTTTTCGAGGACAATAGGTACCAAATTGTGCTTAGAAAAATGTCTTTTATACCAATTATTCAATAAGTACATATCTACTGTACGTATTGAAACGTCTCTTACGACATCCTGATGATGAAAAAATTATCGTCATTTTCTATCCTATATCTTATTATTTGGGGTCTATACAGTATGTAATTTTATATATCGGACGCTATCATAAGCTTACTTTACTCTTGTTAATATCGTCTTGGTTTATTAGTATTGTATACTTAATCTGTTGACACAAGACAATGGTGGACCTGTTTATGAATGCTTGTAAGACTAAAGACGCCTCTCACTCTTCTTTACGTCGTTTTCCTCTTGGTATTGTATTACTCAATAAGATTAATCTTTAAATATGACAGATATAGGTGAATTAATATCTTTTTCAGATTGTAGATAGATGGACAAATAATATAACGTACCGTCAACTAGTTATATCGTCGTGCATTGGTATAGTTCAATTGTGGTGGCATCCCTATGTTCACGACCTCACCAAATTGCTGCCATTCATCTTCTTATATAATTTGTTCAGTATATTTGTTGGCTATCCAATGTTTTATCTGGAGCTAGCGATTGGCGTGGTCACTAAGAAGGGAGTACTGAGTTGTTGGGATTTATCGCCCATTGCTAGAGGTTAGTATTTAGTTTCAAGTCCAAAATAATTGAGAAGGCCCAGTACATTCTATGCCCATAGGTAGGTAGATTTATCGTATACAATTGAAAGTATAAACTGCTTTTAATGCTGATTATGAATTTCTGCTATGCTGCTATTGTGTCCCGCTAGCGTATACCATACGCTAGCGGGACACAAGTGGAGGATGGCCAAATCTGCCATCCACGGTGATTTCCAGATAGAACCGCGTGGAAATCGATTGAATAGATATAACAGTTTGATAACAATGAAGTCGCTAGTCCTCATTACTGGGGAAGAAAATTTTTAGTAATGTGGACTGTGGATTCCATTGCTAGCAATGTCAGTTTGACCTTCACGCAGTTCCCCCTGAAAACAATCGTTATAGTCCTAGTGAATTTGTCGCGACGGGTTAACTGGCCTCATTTCATGTTCATCTTGTCATCTTTCACTGATGCTCCGTCAGAGTAAACAGGTAGCACAAACGGGTCCACCATTCTATTAATATCAATTTAAAAAAGGCCGTATTAGTAAAAATACCCACACTTTAACATATTATTAGTTTGGTTAAACATTAAGGTATTGGCTTCTCTATGCTGTTGTGCTGCATCGTCACAGCACTAGCGTTGGGCGTGGTGAGCGCTTGGTGCCTGGCGATGCTGGTGCACTCGTTCCATTCGTTTCTCCCGTGGCTGCACTGTGCTGCGAGTGCCCGACCTGCTTGCGCGGCGCGACATCGGCCGCTCCCGCGAGGCAGTGAGACACCGTCACAGTCTTTTTTCTTGTAATTTAATGTTATTATTATTTTTAGTAGTCTTGGCTTAGTGGTTTTAGTAACCTGACTTAGACCGTAAGGTATACATAGATGTAGACAAAATATTAAATTTTATTTCTGACTAGTGATAGAAATACCAGATAAAAATACTCCAAGAGGCAGCTGTAGTCATGCCCCATGCTACGTTGGATTGATAATATAATAATGGTAGGTATTTATGACAGGGAACGGATGAAAAGCTATCGAAAGCATACTGTGATGTTTAAAAATCTATTGTTTTAACTTATCTACTTACATGTAGGAGGTACAGAAAAGTTTGTAGAGCTTATGGCATACCATGAGGTATGCCATAAGCTCTACAAACTTTTCTGTGACATATACGAGTATATATGTAGATATAATACCTTGTGTAACTATAATTTCTATTACTACAACCACAGATACGATAATATCTACCAACTATCTACTATAATATCTATTTATCAACTTAACAACAACATTTTTATCAAGTTTAGACATTTTAAGATTTTTAACGATAAAATATATATGTATAGGTTTCGTTTGTTTCACAGTAATTTTGTGCTGAGCCTAAAGAGGGAAGGCTTAGACGGTGGTTTAGGCAATGTAGTCTGGGAACTGACTTTTTACTATGTCATCTCTTGGATTCTGATCTATTTGATCACCGTCAAACGAATATACAGCTACTCTAAGGTATATAGCTTTACCTAAGTAATACTTTCAATCACATTCATAATTAAATTATGAATCACGCTCTTGTCACTTCCCATTATCATTCTCTGTAATCTTCTGCATAGTAGATACATTATTTTTTCGTCGAATATGTACATCGATATTACAGCTAAAACCTTGTACCTATCCTATTTCTTCTAAAACTTAATTACAGAACGGTCTATTACTTTCTCTTTTAGAATATTTTCTGTGCTAATATTACAAAGACGAAATATTTGATTGTTTATTCTGTTTACATTGAAACTACTGGACATTTTCCTGATAAATAACGTTAGGGATCCGTATAATTACTTCGATAATATATGAAAAAAATACCAAAAAAATCCTTATAGATATCGCGTACGCTGCGGGTATTGAGCAAAATGATTCACGCACATTGTTCGGCGTACTATTTTATAAGTAATAGATACATAATTGTACTTTCAACAGTTGGTATTGTTCAAAGATGTTCTGACATACTTTGTGTTACTATCATTCGCGTTGGGAGCACCAAGACTCAATGGCGCCGGTCGTATGTTCAGTGCTTGTGACTGGGGAGTGCTGCAAAATGGTTTACAGGTTCGACTTCAAAATAAATTGTAATCTCAAGTTAAGTTAAATCTATTTTATGAATTTTCTAAATCTTTACTGTCATTTTTGTAATTTTCAAAGTGTTCGGGGATAATTAGAGAGTTCATACTTGGGTAGGTATATCCCAGTCTAAATATTATATATTAGGGTAATAGTAGAGTGATCTTTGTATTTCTATAGACTTCATTTACTTTAAATTTTTTCATAATTCCGGACAATTCTCACAGTGCCGTCTAATAGCTACCCTAGCCCCGCTAAATAAACCTTGTGTTATGGATATGTACTAGACACTTGATAGAAATGCTTAGGTACCTGCTTATTTTTTAAATACATACATAATTTACAAAGAATAAGCACGATTATCTTCTCAAATATTTAGACTGGGATATACCTACCCAAGTATGAACTCTCTAATTATCCCCGAACACTTGTCTTCTCTCTTGTCCGAACGATTAGTCCAAAACTCTGAAGTTTGAATACCATAAACATTTAAAATGTTTTCATAATCAGATGTGGCGTGAAGCAATAGAATATTCTTTAATGGAAATGACGGTGTCTCATGGCGTCCTCGTGATGCTCGGCGTTTACTGTCCTAAGCAGCAACACCGTCTAGCCACCACTTCGCTGCTGGCGTTCGCTGCTTCCAAGTCTACATGCATGTGTAGCGTGTTTGTTCTAGGAGCTGTTCATGGCGCATTACAACATGATTATGATAACAGTACTAATATTTGGAGTGGTTAGTAGGTATATTTACAGATTATTTGTAGATTTCTGTAAATTTCAAATAAATTAAGACAAATAAATATGAATTTAGATTTTACAATTGAGTTCCGCAGAACTGTTCCTTGTATTTTGAATTTCTGGTCGATCCCTTGTCCGTCCGATTCTAAACGTGCTCGAAATAACGACTGGGACGAAGCATGAAATGATGTAAAAATAATTATGCGCGCAGGCTCAGCTTCAACGATGGTTCTATGGTCAGATTTCGTGACGAGGGTGCCCGGCAGTCAATTTTGGTCTGCTCTTTTATTCTTCACAATGTTTGTGGCATCTCTATCCTCTACGGTAAATATGTTGTAGGTATTTATGTTTTCTATTAATGAGAAAGACTATACAAAGTTGTAAATATAGGTATGGGCATTTGAGCTATGCTACCTGACTATATCTACTCTATCACAATTACATTATCTATGGCCATAAAATTACGAGGCAATATTCACATATTATATATTGATGGACCGACAATTTGCATATGCAGTATATATAAGAAAATCATATTATACAGCCTAACTTTATGTAAATTTTTCAGGCCTTGTTAGTCCAGACAATAATGTCAACTTTCACTGGCCGCTCGATCAGAAAGATTACTTGGGCGTTCCTAGTACTAAACTGCTCATTGTTTTGCTTTATCGGCATAATTACATTGTGTACACAGGTTAGTTTCCTTATTATATTATTTCTTTTCAACAATTTTTATAGTAATATATTGCACGATATCATATGCAGCGTTTCGTTAAGTAAGTTAAGAGATCCATTAAATGTGATGTACATTTGATGGATTTCTTTTTGCCTGGATGTGGATACATTTTCCAACAATGGTACCTATTTTCGAACCAATACGATACTGAAACGTTAAAGGAAAGAGATTATTCCTTCTTTAAAGGCCGCCAATGCACTTGCAGTTCCCTTGGTGTTGCGGGTGCTCATGCTCGTTTGTTTTTATGCTATAAAAATAAAAATTTAAAGCAATAGTGTCTGAATTCATATTACAGGGAGGTTTGTACATTCTGAATTTTCTAATGGAATGGCCTGTAATGAAGCCCCGTGTGTTTATTTCGGCGATAGTAGCAATCGTGGTCACATACATTTACGGACAAACAACGTTCAGTGAAGATGTGTATTTCGCAGTGGGAGAATACCCAAGCGTTTTTATGAGGGTTTGCTGGGCGCTAATGCCTGTATTGTTGGTGGTGAGTTCTTTGATTTATTACAAGTCATAGGTATACTTGTATTGTCTACCAACTTAAACAAAATATTTTTATCGTATTTAAGAAAACAAAATTTGATAACTATTTTTGCATTTGATAAAAAATATTTTTATCCGGTTTGTGCCGTCCGGTGCGTTTATGCAAAGCTGGAGAATCAATAAAATGCACAGCTGAGCTGAGTATGACACTCAAGAGTATGCCTGTGACATTTGCTAATCTTAATTTTCTAATTTTATGGTCAAGTTAATTATTTTTTTAATTTATCAAAGTTAATTCTATGTTTTCGGATATTCAATATTTCTCCTCAAACATATCTAAGAATTATTGGATAAAACAATACAAAATTATTATTACCAACAATCATCAGGTGGATAGTCAGTTTGTTTTCCATTTGAGTTGCATAAAAACCCCTACATTTTTTTTTAAACCGATTACTTCAATTTTAATATTTGTTTTTAGAGTTTATTTTTAGGTGATATGTGCACGTGGCCTTCGGTTGACTCGGTGGCTGGTTGGATTATGGTGGTTATTACCGCATTGCCTATTGCGGTTGTTATGTTCGTCTACATGGTCTTCAAGTGCAGAGTTAGAGTAAGTCAGCAATCTTTAATTCTTCCTTCCGTATAAAGTTATTCGTAAAGGGCACGCCAGTAAAAAGTATTAAATATACTAATTTTCCACAGAGACACTGTATTTCGTGAGTATTCTATATTGTTTTTGGCTTGGTGCGATAGGTGATACTCAGTAACTTGTAAAACAGCCAATTATTTCCAAGTATTGACATATTTTTAAAATTGTGTATATTTGTAATTATAGGACCAACTGCCATAGCCACATACAAAAATTAAAGCGATATTTGTATTTGTGTTTAGCATCATCAGGCTAATTTTATTTTTATTACCACAGTCAGCTCAGTATTTGACACTCAGTATTTCGTTTTTCTTTTAAATTTTTAGGAATAAATATGAATTTCATGTTACAGAACATGGTGGGCAACGAAAAATAAATCCATATAAAAATTGCAATTCAACTAAAATAAAAATGAATTTTTGATTCTATATTTTATTGTAGTGTAGTTTTTAACCAATTATAATAAGTGTAGGATAATAGAGAATAAACAAAATAATATTATCATCAGAATGACACCATATTTAATTCACAAAATTTTCATAACACCAATTTGTTACCAAAATAAAGGATTATTTTATAATTAGTCATACACACATATTCACATAACAACTTAGGAAGCTGACCCCAGTAGACAATGATCACGTCAATTTTAAGATTCATATTTTTTTTGTCTTTTTATACCGATGCCATTATCTACTGGCGTCAACGGGAGCATTTTTTACACAATATACGCAAATCAAATATTTATGAACAAAATATATAACGGTTTAGATTTATTGGGGAAAAAACACTCCTCATTAATACAGCCTTGGATCTTATAGCTAAATTAACTAACTTAAATAATGAACCTCTCATATAAAAATAATAATAATAAAATTACATTACGCGTACTACATACATATTTAAAACCTAAGTAGATAGACCGCCAATATGTTCATTGTTTTGCTGATATTTAATTTCTGTAAATCGTTCAATATTTTAGACTATTGCACATTTCGTATAAGATTTAGCATATTTCTATAGTAATTACTTGTATACTTGTATGAAAGAGATGACACCTTATAGAATATAATATTGATTGCACGAAACATTCGTATACAGACTAGATGCTAATTTTTTGGAACCTAAACACGATTTCAACACATTTACAGTACGGTGTCTCGAACGTTTGTATAGGTTCCATTATGATATAAAAACGAGAGCGGATCTTATAGTGTTTCTTTACAATCAAGTTTCATACAAAATATATAGTCTAGTCTATACAATAAGCTCTCGTTATAATCAATTTGACTTTCTATGGTTACATACTAAAATTGATCTGGGTTTGGATAAAAGCATATTAATTTTAGCAATGTTGTTCTGAATCTACAATAAGCGGTAATTAATAACTTTCATTACAAACAACTAACTACTTTAACTGTATAATATTAGACACTGTAATATTGTGATAATACAATTAGTACTTTAGCATACAAAAAAGCTGCAAATTTCAAATATATAATTTAAATCATAAATAGGTTTTATATAGATCCATCTAATTTAGAAACATTCACCAATCAATAAAATAGGTAAAATGAATACAATACGTAACGTAACAAAAGTTGCTATATTTACACAGGAAATTTAATAGTTTATAGACGATTTCAACATGAATTACACTGACTATAGTACTACAGACATATAATTGTAAGTTTACGTGAAATACACCAGTGTATTAAATACGCTATATATATTATATGTCACAGCCCACTGTGATAAAATCATTCAATAATAATCAGTGACACATACCAGTAATATCTAAATATGCTACGCGAGACACATAAACGATATTATGAGATATTAAAAATAATAAATTATTTTTATATACGTATACAAGTTAGTATAAGCAAGTGCACCACTCTGAAACCCAGTCAATACAAAATGAATATAAATATCCACCGTAATATCCTATCTTTTTATATTGTGGATCTTTGTGCGCGTATTGCTCTTAAGTTATATCTAATTTATAGTGAGTATTATAATTGCTCTTCAAAAACTAACGTGGGACGAAAAATATGCCATGATATCTTTCAGAATAAAGAGGCTTCGGAGAGCATTTTCGTCGATTAAGGTTAATTTTTCGAAGTTCTAGTAGTTAAGAGTTGCCAATTTCATAGAAATAAACGAATTGGACTTATATGTAGAGTTGTTAACATCGATCACGACTCCGTAGGATACAATAAAAGGAAATTATTACGGTGGTTTAGTGTTCTGGATTTGTTTGGGTTTCAGCTTGGTATACCTAATCATACCAAACCTGTATTACTTAAAGGAAATTATTTACGGGATCATTTATGCATATTTATGAAATTATGCGCCTATGAAGCTATTTAAGGGTAAATTATTTTAAAGAATAATATGAGCATTAGAATACCCCTGCAGTGTAATATTATTTATTTTTGCACTTCAGAATAAAGAATCTGAATAATAATATTCTTCTGCGCGGTTTCATCAGAACAATTATAGTAAAGTGTATGATTTTATATATGCAGAGAAAAATTAAAGTACTCTACATGCGATATCAAAATACGCATGACTGAAAATACTTTTACCCTAAGTCGCATGCGCGAGATATGACAAAGTATAATGTGTATGCGATTCAAATGGTAATAAGCACAACGACATTGATCAAATTCGATTGATTTACACTTATATTTAAACACTGTGATATTGCAAATGTAATTGTATAAAGTAATTTTAAATCGAAATTGACTTGATGAGGTCCTGACATACAAATATATATTAGGTGTTACTCATTTAAATAAGTAAAATGATCATATCGTTGAAAGTACAAGCTTAAGCACAACCGAAATATTAATTTGTAAATAAAAATTTGAATCACGTAAGATATATTGTCGTCGTGTTATATACAAACTATTCCAATAAATAGGCAACACAGACTTAACTAAAAGGCAGTAGTTACAATAAACCTTACATGCTAAGCGTGTGCTTTATTTGCAATAATCGAAACCGTCTTCGGACCCTGCTCTCAGTCTTACCCTATTAATCATTCATTGTGTTTAATTTAACCATAAAATATATATTTGATCAATAACATAATTTGATCACCAAATGCAATGGGTAAATTTATCCAAAATAAAGAACAATATACAGATTTCCAATTGCATTAACATAATACGTCAATTCTTTTAGCTTAGCCGTATCTTGAGCATTTTAATAAACCCGGAAACCCTAGATAACGTGCAACCCTTAAATATATGATATATATTTTGGGCATAACAGTTACACCCTAACTCAAGTATATGTAACGAAATATTAAATACTTGGGGAAAAAATGCGTCAAGAATCTTCTCAGAAAAAGAAAATCACACAGAAATGCAACAAATATACATGTTTAGTAAGAAAAAGTATAAATCTACATTTTGTGCAACCATAACTATAGCATAAAATGAATTATGATTAAATATTTTATTAGTATTCTTTGTGAAAATTAAATAATAGTAATAAATATTAAAGATTATTCTTTACGGTGATGTGATTAGGAAACTCAATATTTAATGAAACTCGTTGTGAGCTAAATTAGAAAAAACTTTTGTAGTATAGGTCTAATTATATTCAACGCAAGAGTTAATATGTTTTACAAGTCCTTGTAAAATACAACGAATAAACAATGAGATTGATACTGATACAACATTCTTTAAACCTATCATTAAAAATATATATTTTAAATACTTTAATCTTGATAGATTAGTATCTGATGAAGACATTTAGTTCATACTGCTAAATAATATTAGCTGTAATTACATTAAAATAATTATAGTTTAATTGTAAAGATAGTGTTAAAGAATGATACTTCAAAATTAACCCCCTTGTTTAATGGTAATGAGTAAATAAGCATTTCACCTGATACTATTTTAAAACCAGGATTAATATTCATTATCAAATATGGGTGAGACAATTGTCTCTGGTTAAACCGGCTCTACGCGAACGTGGAGCAGCTCATTCTTGACTAGTTGGATAAGAGTTGAAACTACAAATTGTGTGCATAACAATGACAGCTAGAATATATCAATTAACATACTAAATATTCGGTAAATAAAAACGTGAGGAACTAATATTGGTGTCTCACACGAATGGTGGCAACACTTCGAGTTGTTTTGTTACTACTATAATTATTGCCAGTTGCCTAATTAAACTATTTTAAAATCTACTACCCCAATCCAAATAAACAAATTAACAACAACCAAGTTATACATATAAAAGCTTAGCAAGTTAGTAAATAACTCGGAATTATCATACAAAACTAAATCTATTTCGATTCATTACAATAGTAGTTAAATTGACTAATTTTAAGACGAACTTATATTTCGATACATTTTGGACACCAAAGCGCATTCAAGATACCATCTTATAATTACGACTGGTGTTGGCATTTTATAAACACCTTAAGTAGAAAAGCTTTAAATTAGTAGCAACTTTAAAATGATATCCATACTTTTTGGTCAATTTCATAATAGCAAAATATCATCATTCAAATACCTAATAAGGCATTGATGTATTGCCTTCATCACTCTTCAAAGGGAAGGATTTCAACACCACATATAAAAACCAAGATACACATGCTGGTAGCAGGCATGACGAAGTTAGCATGGTTTGAGAAATGTTAGTAATTAGTATCTAGCATGAAAATGAACTTTATGACAATAGTTGAAGTTGAATTTTGTTCGTCTCACAACTATATAATTGATTATTTGCAATTCAAAGATCTACAATAGTTGTTCCACTTCAGACCATTGTATTTTGTAATTAATTTCTTAAAAGTAAAATCACAACTTATCAGTATAATACAAAACACAAATGTACTTCAAAATAAAGCGAGCTACTAGCATGCTAATTTATCTTGGCATTAACGCAAACTCTTGTCAAACAACAACATTGCCGTGAGATCAAATGGTTTAACGAAACTGATCATCAAGATAGCGCAGCTATGCTCGTACAAATCACTAACTATAAAACAATCGAATTCACAATAGACAATAAATTACATTGTAAAATTTAGTATATACCCAACATTTTAGTTAATAATAAAATTCACTTTCTATACGTAGAACCTGTCAATTGAAAGCAAGATAAATCTCGAATTGAATTTGAATAATATTAAAAACAGACATTCCCCATACAACATACCAACGGCGAGATAATAGACAATCTATTTATAATTAACACTTAGTATATCATTACAATAACAATATCATACACAAGTGACTACAACTAATCAATCCGCTACATTAGTTCTCAATCATACCATATCACATGTAACAAGGGCACATTTAACTCATCCTTTTATTATTCCATCAAGAAGCACCGATTCATCGAGACAGTCTGTGTGGTGCTGCCCTAACTCACCTCGCAATCCCTAAAACTACGATCAGTATATTACTAGGACGAAACGAAATTCAGGTTACATATTCTTCCTTCTTAATAAACTTTGCACCAAATATTTCTTCTCAAACACCAATATTCGTTGGAAATGAATCACAGTACACTGTGATCCACTCTACTATCACACAGCATCAAAACTTTGTACTCTCTATCAGTTCTTTGCCTAAATTTCCAACACATCAAACCTCCATTCAACATTCATCAAAATGTTTAATACAGAAATAATATGTATCATGAATTCAATAGTTAAGACTACATTTTTTTTACATTTTTTAATAGTTTATTACACCACAATTCCATATTGTCCAGTATAGAACTTGTTTAAAACTTATCAGCATTATTTAGGAGTTGAGGCACATTGATGTGACACAATGTACCATTACCTTTTTCCGTATTTTTTTTAATGCACAGAATGTTTCTTTAGAAATAAGTTTACATAAAAAAAGTTAGTAAATTCGTAGGAAGCGTGAAAGAGATTTTCACAAATTTATCACAATAACATCAATTGGCCCCAACTCATATTATGAATTTATACACTAATAATAAATTTAATTATACAAGTTTTGTGCAAGTCTTGACAAGTAAATAATGATGTAATTTTACTTTGAAATAAAATGACCAAGCAAATGAAAAGTCTTTGTACTTTATCAAATAGACAAAAGAATTGATATATGTACATTTGAAGCGAAACTATGAGTTTAAAACTTTTATGAATATACAATATTAATGATATAGATGTTTTAGTCATAGCTAGGGACAGTTGTTAGTATGTATATAATGTTAAAAATAATGTCACATACATAGCTACATATCAGGCATTCAAATAAGCACAATAACTAATTACACTTGATAATATCAATTTGTTTGTACTAACAACTGTCCATTTACTCAACACACCTCCAAGAGCTACCTTCCTTTTAATTTACACTTATAATACAACATTCGAAAATATTTTTCACTGAATGTAGAGGCACAAATATATACGAAACGATATTTACACACTCACAGAGTGTCTCTTTACATCACTTGTATTGAAACTGCAGTGGATAGATTTAGTCCACCACCACTTATCCCATTCCGCACAATACTGTCAACTAGCACTCATTAGGTGTCAAATATTTTTAGAAATGAGAGTAGAATGCCACTTTACTATCAGCATATAATTTTAATCCGACGCCAAACATACTTATAAAGGTTTGGAAACATATTCAGGATATCCTAGCACACACCTGAACACTTGTCGCAAACAAAATCTTAGCATGTATCTTTTTTTTAACACGTCCACTCCCGGTACTGTACTTTCCATCACTATTATACTTTGAATATATTATTGTGCGCTCAAACCGACATGTGACGGCAAAGTGCAAATGATTATTCAATATTTGAGAACATTTCTAATACCAGTACCACAATCAGGACTTTGGCATTTTCGTTGAATCTATATCCGGCGCCAGATTTGGACTGAACTGGCACTAATCTCAAAGTTTATAGAACAATAACATACGGTCGCCGGTGGTGTGGGACAAGTGTGACGAGCGTGGCAAGCATGCCGAATGGCCCCTCATTCGGGACGCGGGCGTGGCGCTGGTGGCGGAAGCGTGTCGTGACGGCGGTACATCAACAGGTAGGGCATGCGTGGAGGCTTGGCTTTCAGTACTTGTGCCTCACCCACTTGAGTCACTGTCGAGTCGTCATATCTGCGGAAGATATATTGCTTTAAGATAACACTGACATATACTTATTTCATGATAACAATGTAAAACATTTTATTAATTATGAAAAGAAAAACAACATTATTCATTATAAAAATGACTAATTTAATAATGAACCAGTAATGCCCAGGAATGTAGTAAATATTTTAAAGAAAGTGAATGATAAATGATTTTAAATTTTAATGTGAATATTTATGACAGTAAGGATGTAAAAGAGATGTGTGAAACATAATATGGTAAGGAAGCGAATAATAATAATCGGAATTAATGAAAACATTACGCCGATTCCAAATGAATGTGTTGCGAGTGTTTAAAAACTTCAGATGTTACATAATATTTCATTATATTCCATTGTTTTATTGATACCATGTACATTCAAATACTAACTTTCATATGGAAATTTATCACATTAAACATGTGTATACAACAACTATATGAAGCAATAAAACAAATTAAATTGAATAAATGCACTCACCTGAGCCAGCCAACCTGTCCGTGGTAAGTGTCCGTGACATAATGTCCTTTCACTGCTTCCACTCCCTCATGGTATACAACAGCAAACAACTTGTATAGTCTCTGTTTTTGTGAATACTTCAGCTTTGAAGACATAATTTCTGAAATATCACATTATTTGAATTTATCAAATGCATTTCTGTTGTATAATTGTATCTTTATATTTATATATGATCAGAATATTGTTTCCACAAGACAACATTATTATTAATGTCGCATTCAGAGACGAAAAATAAAAAACATCATTTTAAAAAGTTATATTGCTAATGGTCTGGTATTTGCAGATCATATAAGTCTATTATATTACTAAATGAAATCTAAATAGCTAGCTAATCACTTTGTGTTGTAGTTGCAATAATAAATTGAAACTTTGTGAACTAATGGGAAAATGTTTGTAAGTGAAAAGAAAATTCAATGTTTAAGCCAACTAGATCAACAATTCAAGCAACACAGATTACATCCATATCTCAAATATACCTATTGCAGTAAGATAACAGAAAAAATATAATACATACTGGGATCGATTTTGAGATCAATGTTAAAGTCGATATTCTTGACGATTTTGGCGGTATGTCCCTCCGGATCGAGCTGGAAGCACTTAAGGTGCAGAAGTAGGACTACAGGCAACTGCTCCAGTGATAGTTGTTGCCAGGCATCGGAGACTCCTTCGAGGGTGTCCTTGCCGGCGAGCAGCTCCAAGGCATCTTTGACACTGTTCGCGCGCTGAAATGTACAGATCGCCTATTAAATAAAAGCGATAAAAATATCTTATAAAATTGCATGAATTGATTTGTTACTCAGAATAGTTTGTCTACATTTGTGTGATACGCAATCACATTCGGAGACGAAAAATAAATAGCATCATTGTGAAACAATACAAGAGGGAAGTTCTTTTAATTTCATGGGTAATTAGTTTATACATAATAAATAATTATTAAGTTTAAGTTTTAAACAAATCGATAGTCAGTATTATTTGTCCTTGCAAACATCATAAATGCGAAATTGTTTATTTCACTTTTATCGACTGCTGTTACCTCGAGTCGTTACGAGTGTGGTACCGCAACGTCCAGCCCAGAGATTTGTACTAATATGACGAGTGTGGTGGATCAATGTGGAGCTTAGAGACGCGTTAATGTCCCTAGTGTGGTACCTCGACGTCGAGCTCAGAGAGAAATGTGTCAATATGTCAGTGCAGCCGATACCGCCCACCGAGCTCGGTGTCAGGTCGACGCGAGGAGCGTGGAGTGCGGAGTGCGGAGTGCGGAGTGCGGAGTGCGGTACCTCGATGTCGAGCTGCAGCGTGAAGAACGGCTGCACGGCGTCGGTGACGTCGTGGTGCGGCGCGCGGTGCAGCCGCAGGCGCGTGCGGCCGCGGAAGATGTCGCCCACCGGCGTGCGCCGCGCCGCCCACCGACGCTCCACGGCGCCGCGGTTTCTCGGACCCATCACCTGACACACATTTGCATCACACTTTGTACAGAGTCATCGCCTCGTCCCGTTACGACCTAAAGCGGGGCTGTCCGAACTACTATAGATAGGATAGAATCATCTAGGGCCGACAAAATCATCGACGGGCCATTTCTAAGAACAAAATACAGGTATATATTATCATTATTTTATTATTGTACTACTTTTTCAATATATTTTGGATTATAAAAAATCTAATTATAGACAGTCTCCCTACAAACATTTTGTAATTAAACAAAAAAATAATTTGCGGGTTGCATCAATTCAAGCCCTGCGCCGCATAGTTTGGACAGTGACCTAATGGTTTTTGCCGACTGCAGTTACGGTAGTCTATTTCAGCGCAATGCGGCTTATAAAATTACCATGTTCCGATTATAAGGTCACATTAGGCAGAGAATTTGTGAAATAGGACGCATGCTACCGTGTGCGTACCCTGTTTTGGTTGAAGTGTGATATATGGCTGCAAAATTGCAGTGTAGAGATGAGTGGTACCTTCATATATGTACCCAAGTAACACACGTTTTACAATATACATGTCGATGATTAAGAAAAAATGAAATAACACTTTACCCGTCCTAGGACGTAATTATGGTATACAAGTATTTATACATATGGAAAATGTTACACAAACATTTTTAATAGGAAAGTGTCTTTTAGATATATGTCATATACATTAATTTGTACAGATGTGAGATGTACCGGTTCTAGAGGTAAACAAATAGGATGTCTTGAATATTGTGAAATAAAATTTAATTATGTGCTATCTTATACTAACCTTAAATGCTTTTACACATGGTAAAATAATATAAAGGGAATCTAATGACTACTGATGTTATTAATTAAGACAATTCAATACCTTCCACTCATCATCATCGTCATCCTCTTCTGGCTTTTGTTCCTGAGGAATAACGCCGTTAGGTTGACCGTTAGCATCTTTAGGTTCTTCAGGTTCTACTAATTTGATGAGCTATAAACCAGATAAAAAAGAAAGAATTATCAATTAAATAAATGAGAAAAAATTCAATGATCTTTGGACAAGAAAAAACTATGGACATTTGTAATTTAGGTAAATAAAAACCAAGACCAACAATTTTTTTTTTTATTATTGAGTTTTATTTTTAATTTGAAATGTGTGAATAAAAACTACTAACTAAAATTAACTAATTTTATTAAATACATAATAAGAATAAATCAGTCGTAGTGATTAGAGCAGATCAGAGAGAAAGCTCAATGCTCTGTTGGCTCGGGTCAATGGGCGCGGGCAGACGTGGCGGCGATCACGCCGACCACGTCTGGACATTTTACTACTCAAGACACTCGACCACGTCTATAGCTACTTAAAATTGCCACGTAGCAGTTATACTATTCGCACTATACACGCGAATACACTCGGGAATCGATACGAGAACCGCTGCCGTATCTCTCAATAATTAAAAACAAATGAGTAGTGACCTCGAGCATCTCGTCGTTGAGCGAGTTGAGGAGGCAGCCGAGGAACTCCTCGGCGTCCTCCTGGCGGCCCTCCTGCGAGCCGGGGAAGGGTCGCAGCGCGCGCAGCACGCGCAGCCCGGCCGCGCCGTCCAGCGGCGGGCCGCCCGGCACGCCCGGCGGGCCCGCGCCGCCGCCCTCCGCGCCGCGCCGCGCGCCCCGCGCTCCGCCCGCCCCGCCAGCCCCGCCGCCCGCCGCGGGGCTGAACTCGTAGCACAGCTCCACCCTGGTACCGTTCATCGTTGCCTTGCCTTTATACTATTACACTACTTATATATTTACGAAAAAAATCTATGTACTTGTATCAGTTCGGAAGCTGTAGCTCTTATAGTAGCTAGCTCGACTTGGGCGCTGTGTGAATGGTTCTGAGATTATTATTATTATTTAAGGTCTCTGCAGTATGCCACTGATCCCACTATCGGTCGTCATATCTGATCATACTCTCCTTTTATTCATTATTAGGTCGTCGTGGAAAGCGAGGGGCTTTCCATAAATCCATTCTTTATTCCAAATCATTTACTCAATGCGGGGAAGGAAATTGTCAGTAATGTGGCATGGCATGTGGACCCCATTGCTAGCAATGTACCATATTAAGTTTAACTCCACATCGTCCATCGTGGTAAATTCCTAGTGAATTCGACACGATGGGGTAACTGACTTGACCTCAAACTCATGTTATCATCCTCCGTTGATACCCTGTCAGCGTTAACACAAGCAAGCAGGTGCAGTATTTCAATATCATCCATGATAAAAAAAAAGTAATGTCAATGTTTCACAGACCACTACGCAATTCGCCCTAGTTAGCGTATACTACTATCGCTGTCGGGAGAAGCATTTTGTAAAATAAAACATAAAAGCGTCGTGGTCTAAAAACAACTAATCTGTCTAAACATTTTTTCAAACCGAGCCCCAATTATATTTGTTTGACTCCCCGGTGCTTGAAATACGAACAAGAAGTACAAATAAATAAAAATAAATGTATATTATGTAAGATATGTATCAAATATTTTTTTTTAAATCATAAACAATTGACTACCTAAATTGAAAACATTATATAATATATTTAATGTGATTATAAATCACAAAATTGGTTACCAAACAAATATACCAGATACATTCTCTAAAGATTATATTTTTAACTGTAATATTAATCGACGTAGTAAAAGTATAATACCGTGTTAAATTACACCCACCCAACTCTAAGAATAGATGTTTTGTAGAACAAAATCTTAAAAATAGTACTACTCTACCATATCGTATGACTGCTATTATTTCCTGTCAAAAGAATTTAGAAGTAATGAAAAATAAACTTACATTGAATCAATTACAGGCGTGCTAGATTTGCCGCGACGTGTTTGATACGGCAATGACTTGAGCATGTTATAGAAAGGTGGGCAGGCGATAAGAGCCTGTAGTATCGAATTCACATAACAATAATTGGAACGATTTGTGAGACCGCGCGGCAGGAGAGACACTGGCCGATTATCCAGTTGATATTTGGTCAGGAATTCTGAAAATATATTTTCTATTAATATTTTATCAACATAGAAATACAAACATTGAAAAAAAAAAAACAAAATAATAATTACCTCCCATTCTATACGAGTTTGGGTCGTCACTAAACGGTGATGGCGCAATGGGAAGAGCAGGTGTAGGTTCTTTTTGTATGGGCATTTCGCGGATTTCTGAAGCAACTTGAGTGGCGGCCGGAGATTTTGTACCGGCCGGGGTATTTACATTGCTCACGGCGTTCACAGAAGTTTTCTCAGAGTACGACACCGTAGGACCGGCATTAGTAGCGGTACGAGGCGTAGGCGAAGTTTTGTCGACGACTGTGGTCTGCAGTGGCGAAGCATCAAAGGGAGGCACTTTAGCGACAGGTTTCTGGACACTGGCAGAGGGTATGGGGGTAACAGAAGTAGGGCTAGAAGGTTCTTCTGAAGTTGTAGTAGTAGTGATAGTCGTGGTAGGAGCAGGAGCAGGGGTAGTTGTAACAATCGCAGCCTTGTTCGAGAACAAACTGGCCCATGATTTACCAGGGGCTGGCTGTGGTTGAGGTTGTACCACAGGTGCAGGAATAGGTTCTCCACGATTCCTAGGCGTTGGAGGAGGTGGAAAGTCGGATGCAGTAGGAGCAGGTGGTGGAGGTTGGGGAATCGGCAATGGTTCCGGCGCTGGGGCTACCTTCCTGGAATGGCCGAATGGTGATTTATTCGTCACAATTAATGGTTGACCTTGCGAATGTAGTGTTATCGAAATAGGCATTGGAGCCTTGCTTGGTGGCAAAGGTGGCTCCCGTTTTGAATGCTGCTCAATGGGTGCACTAATCTTCTCGAGGTTCTCTGGGTTTTCATTAGAAGGTGAGCGGTTTGAGATACCATCTCGTTTCTGTCGGTTTCCGAATGGTGCTTTTGGAGTGGACGCAGCCTGTTGAACAGGTACAACGGTCTGCGGCACGGATGGTTTTGTTGTTGATGACTGTTTGCCACCAGTAAATGGAGCAGCAGGTCCTTTTGTTGTTTTGCTTATTATTGGTGGCGTTTTAGCTACAGACGCTCCCTGAATGTTAGCTGTTGCCGTAGGAGGGAATGTTTTGTTTATCGGTTGTCCCTGGCTAGAAGTATTCTCCAGTGCTTTGTTGTCATTAGGTACCCAGGCCGGTTTAGTTGAATCAGTTTTTTGAACGGGTGATGTTTTGTCACTGGTAGCGGTCATCGGTTTAGTTTGATTACTTTCACTTGGACGGTCAGCCTGTTTAGGACTACTCGGGCCTTTATTAGTAATTTTGAGATCTTTGATTGGCAATGATTCCACAGATCCAGCTGAGGCAGTAGCCGACACCGTCGCCGTGGGAGTTTTATGTTCGTGGTTCTTGTTTTCTGGCAACGCATAGTTTTTGTTGTGACTTTGGCCTTGAACGAAATTTTTCGCATGCACATTAAACTGATGCGGCGTCGATTGGTGAGGTGGTTGCTGCTGAATAGGGATATGTGGGGGGTGTGGAGGAGGTTGTAAGTAAATCGGTGGCATATACTCCATGCTGCCCTCGACCGGTGGTGCGAACGCATAATGTGTGCCAGCATAATAAGCATCCACCGCCTCCTGTTCCATCACTACTTCCTGCGCATACTCATCTGGACCTTTGTCGCCGGTATCACCCTCTACCGGTAACGGGTATTCTGGATAGTAGTATGGTGGATGTGCGTAGGGTCCATAGACGAGGGGCTGGTACATGGGCACGTGGTAGAGCGGCGCGCCCTGCGCCTGGGCGGCGGGGTAGTACTGCGGGTACTGCAGGTAGTAGGGCGGCGGTTGCGGCGGCGGCGGCGAGGGCACACGCTTGCCGCGGCGCTCCCGGCGATGCCCGCGCGGCGGCCTATCGAGCTGCGGCGGCGGCACGTACTGCGGCTGCGGCGGCTGGTAGTACTGGCCCATGTAGCCGTGCACGTTGACGTTGGCGGTGACCTGGCTGACGTACACGTTGGGCGGCGCGACGGGCCACTGGTGGTGCTGCGGCGGCGGGTAGGCGGGCGGCTGCTGCACGTAGGGCTGCGCGTGCGGCGGCCCGGCGCCCGCGCCCCCGCGCTGCGGCGAGTGGGGCGCCATCTCGCACTCGCCGCCCGACAGGCTGTCCAGGCTGCTCGACACGGTCGGCGGACCCGCCGTGCTCGACGAACACGATGATATATCTGGTTCAATCACCACCCATTATACTATATTTAGCCACCAACATATCTAACAATCTTTAACTGTTGTGAACGAATTTGTTAGAAATTTATGATAATATTTCATATAATATCATAATCATAAAATTGTAACAAAGTTGAATGTAATATATTTTTTTCATTGATAATCTAAATGTACAGGCATTTCAGGCAATTTATACCACGATACATGAAAGAACAAAACAGAAAGGGTAACAGTATATAGTTGCAATACGAAATTAAAAATATATTTGAAATTTACGATAAATGTCTTACCTATAGAATCGACTACACATTAACTCATATTTGAATGCATATGCATTCCTTTAAGAGTAATATGAGATGTGATTTGATTCTATATACGACACATTTATTTAGACAAACGATGAACAAATATACTTTTATTTGTTTGCCGAAAATAATTACTTGTGGAAAATAACATGAGCAGTTCGATGAGTAGATTTCACTGAATAATTACAGTCAAAATTACAGCTTATCGTATGTAGAAAAATTTCAAACCACATACCTATAGCAGGTTCAATCCAACCGACAGTGGCTGTGTACGCCGACGTGTCGGTCTTCCGCTCGAACAGTGCACACTGCAGACTACTTAGTTCCGCTTCTTTCACATCTGATAAGTCTAGGAACTCATATTCCTGAAACACGCCACGGATATTTAACAGTGGCCGAATTTACTACCCTTCCACTGCATGCCACATTAAAGACTTCATATGATAAATGTGCCAGTAAACACACCATAACACATAGTTAACTAGAAATGAGCTTATCAAATAAAAAATACGACGTTATTTACCTATTCTGATAGGTATGTAGCATCTATTTTTTATTTTTTAGCCCAGTCTAGCCTAGAATAAATGTAGGCAATGAATGAGATAATAAACAATGAAATAGTCTTAAACGATGTACATACATTTTATTAGGATTCTGAATTCTCTTTAATGTAAATCTATTTTTTAAGAATTTAAAACCATTATATATGATATTAAGTAATGCGAGTGGGACCCTAAAACTATAGCCAAAGTTCAAAGTCATTGTAAACTTATCATACAATGACAATTGTGAATGACTCCTTAGACAGTAGTAATTATTTTGAAGATTACATTTTACACATTGTGGGTGGTCATAGTAGGACTTAACCACAAATATTACTTAGCAATGTGATAAGCTCTTAAGTCTGCAAAACAGTAATTAATTAGTATAGTCATCATAATCGAAATTATGACGACTTTACTAATTAATTACTGTAACAACTTTGGCAAAACTTTGGCATAAATTGGTTAGGTTTATGTTTTATTAAATATATATTTTTTTGTTAATTTTACTAGAAAGAATGGTTGTAAATAATCACTCAATAATCAATAATTTATGGAAAAAAGATAAGAACTTTATTTTTTTTCATTTACAAATAGGCAATTCAATTTTTATAAAATTCTGAATGTTTTTACAAAGCATTACACTTTTTAAGGAGAAATTATAATATAATGGTTAGGGTAGCATTATTTATAATATGATATTCTATAAACATCAGACCTAATAAACAATCAACAATATATGAAATGTTACCCTTTAATGGAATGGTAGTTTTTTATATATTATGAGGGTGGCAATCAAACATACAGTCCAATTGGTAAGCATCCACCGCAGTCCATGAATGCTTGCAACACCAGAAGCATCGCTCCCGCATTGCTGACCTTAGTGAGATGAATATTATAAAGAAAAATAATGATAAATTCTGCTTACAAAAATGTCAATATCTAGATCATATTAAATTCATTTATAGGAAATTCTAATTTTAATTCCTAATTTTATAATTATTTAAATACATATACAAACTGTTTATTTTTTTTAATGGCAGAACATTATATTGCACCTGCTAGTAAGTGGCAATCATTGCCTAATACCCACCACAAACATTTCCATTTCAGAGGACTAAGTTGTGATGCCTTCATATCTAGAGATAGAATTATACACTATTATTTATTCATTCACTACTATGTACATTCTACTTCATAAAAAGGATATATAGCATAACTAGATATTTACATTTTTATAAACAGTATATTAAAATTATAAAGATGATCATGTATAACACATTTTACTAGAATCGGTATGACTTATTTTCACTGTTAAGCTATTGGTAAAGTACAGAAGTTCAGAATGAAATTTGGCACAGAAAAATAGCAAGCACCATAATTAAGAAAGGAAGGATATCCAATGTGATTAAAAAGCAAACAATCCCAGATAAGGTAGCCAAACTATTACATAATACTTATGCTTCATTATTTTACTAATAAGTAATATTATACAATATATTTATAAATCAATGACTTTACAAATATTTCAGCGTTGTTCCACATATTACTTTGTTTTTCTTAATACATTTATATTTTTTGACTAGTGTATCATACAAATACAAATAAATTAATCTAAAATCTAGCAATTAATAGAAAGTTATTTAATAAAAATAACTAAAGTATTACACTTTATCATTGTTTTGAAAAGTCTGTCACCTAACTCAGGTGGCAGTAGCCGAGAATAATTAAGTAATATGGTTACAATATTATATGAAAATTATAGAAACATTTTTGGATAACCTATTACCACCTTTTGACTGAAGTAACAAATCACATGTCATAGTCGATTATCAAACACAATATGTTTTGTAATATAAAATAGAATGCATAGCTATATTAATTAATAATTTCTTATGAATTATCAAGAAAATTATTATCATAATTTTGTGTTATTAGCTTTGGTATCAGAGTAAACATAATTGTATGTAAATTTCAAAGTTAAGGTAAGGTAATTGTAACTACTTTGACACTTATGTGATTCAAAATTTGTTTATAATAACTAACATCCAATTCAGCTATCAAGTTTATTTATTGTAAAAAACTAGTATATATATATATAGAAATATAATAGAATACTTGATAATTATTAACTTTTATAAAGCTCTACATATTTGACACTATCTTCCAAATTGAAATTCGTTAATTTAGAAAACTGTACTTGGTATATCTGACACCCCACCTGACAGTAAGCTATAACCAACCTAAATAGCAATATAGACATCAATAGTATAATATGACGCTGGTGATAACACTCGTGTATTGCTATTCCTGACTATTAGGATATCACACTTCTTATCACGTTATTTTACTGCCACATCTTTCATTATAACCAAAATGCAACTTAAAAATTAGGGCGATTGATAGCTAGAGTAGGTGAGAGTGAGGTATCCATGCAGGCAACTTTTTACAAAGTCTACCTTAGGTAAATAACTCTTGCATAATTGATAATAATAAAATTCAAGCATATGCTTGATAAAATGTGTATATGTTGAAATGATGTGACTATCAAATGAGATCCAGTAGTTATATTTACATGATGATAATAAACAACATACAAAATGGGTAAACAGATATAATTTGTCTATAGATATTGATAGTACATTATCCTCTCAGTTAGCTGTATTCATACCTAACTTTTCACAGTAGGTTTGGAATATTTAGAAGACCTGATGAATGAACAATGGTGGTCATCATTCATTACTATTATGTAGAATGAATACATAATAGATAGTATTTTGAGAGCCTCAGTGGTATAGCGGTAGAGGACACAGATTATCTTCAGATGGTCGCAGGTTTGATTCTTCGCAATGTACAAACATTTGTATTCATCAGTATAATTGTTCATATCAGTCTTGGGAGTTTTCTATATATATTATGTATGTATTTACAAAAAAATTGTCTAAGTATTATATCAGTTGTCTAGTCATAACATAAGCTCTGCTACTACTGGGACTAGATGGTGCTGAGTTAATTGTCTAGGGTTATAATTATTTATATAATATTATACAATCTTAAATAAATTAGTAAAATTTTATAGTAATGCATTTTTATACTTAGCATGCTGCCAATAAGAGAGCTACAAAGACTACGAGTAGCCAAATATTACAATATTTGATTTATATAACAAAAAGAAAAATTTGTCAAATACAGTTGTTTGTTATAAAAAAGATATTAGTTATAATTATTCCCTTTTCTAGCTATGTAGTTTTTACGAATATTGTAAATTTTTACCTCATATATATGCATAGTAAAGTCAAATGTTATTAATACTATCAAAAAAAATTAATGCAGACCAATTATGAAATACCTATAAAACAAAACGAGCTTTTAAATGCTAAATCAGATTATTGTAAAAATGTATGTAATGTGGAATCACTGAATTGTAATTTCTGTTAGTTTAGAATTTAAATTTCTACACTATTATACACACGATTGAGTACAGGTATATTAATTTGAACTTTTTAGAATATACAACATTAATACATATCCTAATTTTCTTTTCGAAATATAGGATCAATGTATAAAAGTTACAAGTAATAATAATTTATTGATACTAAATTAATTTTTTGCATATGAATTGAAACACAGAACAGGCACTTATACCTGTTCTGTGTTTTAATTCATATGCAAAAATTACTTAGTAATTCTATCATGTGTACCCTAACCTCATTATTTTGCTTTCCAAATATATATTTAATATTACCTATGCTTTATAAATATGAAAGTAAGTAGTTAATAATGTTTTAATTTCATAATGCAAGAGCCATCTATAGTATAAGTGTGAATTTAATGAGACTGCATAATGCCAAGAGAATTGTATAGTACAAAATGTAGTCTCAAAGATTTCAAGAATGTAGTTTCTAGTTGTTTTGAATATATACAAATATTTTTGGTAGCAATCTACTTTCTGTAATCAATACTCAGAAATTTAAATTGTAATTCATTGGGAGTATTTTTATTTTTAAATAATGTAAAATATTTACCTTAATTTACTCTAAACATGTGATATTAAATATTCCAGTCATTAACACTATCATCACTATCAAGGTGGATTGGTTCCTGGATATTTCTATAACGTAACCTTGAAATTAGCTGCAAAATGGACACAGGTGTCATTTCATTTGAACGTTGGACTTCAAGAGGGGCTGTCAAAATTATAGGTTATATTTGATCAAAATTTTCATCAATTCACTCATTGTACACGCGCAAAATACAGTCCATAAACTGTCTACAAAAATAGCGGTACAATGTCGTGTAAAATATATTATGCAATATAATTTATTGCAACAAAATAACAATAACAATCTATGCACATGTGGTTTGTCAAGTCATGGAATGCAATGCAATAGTGAAAATGACATACCTAAGACTTTTTTATGGGATCATATCCATTGGAATTCCTTTCGATTATAGCATGATATTCAGCGTCTAATTTTCTCTTGCATTAATGTAAAGCTGCAAAATATGCGGAACATTTGGAGGACTATAAGATGGCGTAACAACGCTCGGTTGCCGGGTGCCATATAACTATTGACAAATCAACATATTGGTGATTCTTTTAGCGCAAACCAGAAACTGGACACCATCTATTTATTGAAACTATCAACACTTACCTCCCACGTGCACACAATGTCTGGAAAGAGATATTTTTTCTAATGAAATGGCCAGTTTCAAAATCACCAAAACAAGAAACAAAAGCCAAACAAAATTTTCAAGTAAATAATCTGTAATTATGAAATGCTTACCGTTTTCATCAAATCCATGGCCTTTTAGAGAACACCATCACGAAATATAATGTCGTTAATATCACATAAAAACACCAGCGGCCCAAAGGAATAAAAATTTTGGAACGGGATCAACGTCGAGGCCATGCAATCACCAATACAAAACAGGATGTGACAAAAGCCGCGCCATTTTCAACTAGATATTTTCAACCAATAGAAAATCAAGATTTCTACCATAGACATAAATAGAGACTTGAAGAAAAAATTGTTCAGTTGGTAGACGTGTTCGGATGTGTCGTATTTATACCTAATTTACACTTTCTCAATTAGTAAGCGCATGTGTGAAAATAAAAAAAAGTATTTGAGTAATATCAATATAGGTTTGTATGTAAATCAGATCATTAAGTATCATTCTCATTCTATAGTGTAAATGTTCATACTGGTTCATTGAATTTATATAACCTTGCAAACCCAGCAATTTATTTACTATATAACATGATTTAAACTTTATTATGAAGGCATAGAGTTTATAATAGTGTAATATAGATATCAGTACGCCAAAATAGAAAGAAATATTATATTTAGTCATTATGTCCCTTTCACACGTTTGTCTATCCATTAATTAAATTATCACAGAAGACTTCATATAAAATTTATAGAATCAAATAAAGATGGAATGTTAATGCCTAATAAAACACGTAATACCGATATATACCGAGTTTAAATTAGTAGAAAACGTATATGGCAATTCTTGCTTTTATGCCATTAGCCTGACCTGTTCCGGGTTTTTTTTTATATACTTGACGAAATATACTACAGTACGAAAGTAATAATTAACTAGTTATAGCCGCGGTTTCACCCGTGTGAAAATAACCTATGTGTTATTCTGATGTATAACTAAGTATAATATTATACTTAAACTTTCGTGCATATTAATAAGAAATATTTTGTACTCGATCATGTAAATAATTTACAGTATTATCGATTTATTTGGTTTAGTCTTGATTACGTTGTAGACGAACAATAAAAAAATAGAATGGACTGATATCGATATTGAGATTAGACTCCAGTGTAGACTTGTGCAACGGTATGCGCTGGCTTTGCACTTATTAAAGAAGTAAATACTGTTAGAACTTACTTAATTGTTTTACTGGCGACATGTAATTCAGCAGAAGCCAGTTATTATTATAAAGATAAAAGTTAATTTAATTATTCAATGTTCCATCATTGAAAAGGAGATGGACGAATATGAAAAAAAAATATTAAATTGTCTTCACGAAAATGTATATGAATAATAACAATAAATACTAGAACTATTATTTACGTGAATATTTACTGTTCTATATATACGTACATATATAGTATACAGCCTATCCAATTGAGACATCATCGAGGTCTTTAATATTTAAAAGTGCGATTTACAGGTAATTCTTAGTAAATGCGTATATATAAGTTAAAATGGTTTATAACGTATCGTGTTACAACATTTTTTAAATATATGGAATTGTTAATATGTATGTATGAATGTCACTATGACAACTCTTACTGGGACTCTAATAAGTACATTGGTGCACGTGATAACAATATAGTTTTATCTATTGCCGTTGAAGAAAAACATTGCAGAGGTTCTTGTCTTTAAGTGAATACTAAATTGATGATAGTTTTTAACGTTTTGGTAGTAGCTTCAATTAGCTTGCATGCCAAGCTGTTTAGTAGATAGGTAGATAGATACCTACTAATTAGATATATTATAAACTGGTGAAGCATAGATTGACCAGAAGTAATCTAACATTGAGGGTTACGCAGTTGGAGTCGTGTCACAATGAGAGTTTCAAGGTGTTTGTGTACCGGGTTCCCACCAACATGCTTACAACCTTCATGAAGGTGGGCTACTGGCCGAAGGGGCGGATTGCCGTTATCACACCTAAGGGACAATTTTAATTTATTATTATTTCATACATATGTTAGTCTCTTAGGGACTTATTATATAGGCCATGTAGCCTGAAATAAATAAAAAAAATAGACAAAAACATAAGCAATGACGGAAATAAAGAATCTTCCGTTTTTGATTATGGAAAAAGGGTGACAATTCTAACTATGACGTAACGAGTACATCTTTTCGATTACTATGTAGACAGTGATACGTGATCAACTTCACCTGCCCACCACAACCACATTTTTATTAGATCTCTTCTAATCTTCGTAAACATAGGACTGTTTACTCTGCGCGCCTAATTCACTCCTACGTGACTCTTTACCCCAATTATTTTCATAATAAAACCTACTCAGAATTACAGTACAGATTTTTATCGTGTGGAATAACAATGTTTTGTCATATAAAATAATGTATTAAAAATAAATCATTATATTTAAATTTCTTTTTATAACATTAAGTTTAATGATGATGTGATTATTCCTATAAACCATACAAATACATATAATATATATGTTTATAGTCTATATTAAGTTTCTAGTAAATATGTGTTGTGTAGGTATATATAAACTTTAACAGTAGCTCTCTATCCTAAGTAAATTTCAGATGCTTGCAAATAATGTTTATTTTTACCACAAACATACACTCCATCGGACTTCGAAGCCAATAAGCCAATTCCGTTGATGCATACAACGATATACTTATTTATAGATCTATGTATTATATGCAGGCCTGTTTTATATACCTGTGATATGTCCCGTACCGAAGAATGAGTTTGCCCCCTACGAATCTACTTTGTCGTTTCCAAGTCGGATTTTAGTAAGCGACGGGTGGCGGAAGGTGGGGGCAAGATAGTAGGTTTCATTCTCTAGGATCCCAAGATTTCTCTCTCTCTTAGCTTTTAAATCTCGAGAATATTCTAGATGCCACGTTGGTGACACATGGTATTGAGGTACCGAGAAAATGAATCTACGATTTGCTTTGTATTTATTACTAGAGGAATTTAATAGGCATCTTTCGTTGAAAGTACAATGTTATTACTATCTTTTGTATCTTATTGACTGTTACTCCAGATCGAGTAGCTAGAGGTATTTTTATATTATTTTATCCTAACTAGGAGCCATATTGCAAACAGGTGCATAATTTGGTGGCGTTTTTTCCTGTTTTATGTTAATTTTTTTAGACATAGTATTCTTAAAATTATTAATATTATACCATTTCTAATATTAATTTTCCAGTTATTTATTTATTATTAACTTAAAGATATCCTTATTTTATACGTTATAATATTTTATTAGAAGAATACGAGTATACCTATAAATTTATGAATCAGTAGACCACCGGACGAGTATTGTAAATTATCCGTTCAATCATTCGACGGTCGATGGAACAGTCAATGTCAGCATCAGTTAGGTTTTGTGTTGTGTTTAGTTTCTTATTTTACAATAAAAAAAACAAATAAAAAGACACATTGTCAGATGCATTGGTGAATTCAATACTTGATATGCCTAAATTACGCCGAATATATTCGAAATTTATACTAGAATGATCTTTGCGCCGTCTATTGAATAAATGTGTACCTTTTTTGATGATAGCATAAATAAATATTATTTAACATTTTTAATCAATATTATTTACCATTTTTTTTATATTATACAAATTCAAATTCTCGGTCTAGTTTAAATCAAGTAGTTTACCGTTAACGGCCGGACGTAGATACCTATAATTAAGGGACTAAATTCTTTTTATCGGCTGATTATAATATATGTATTTTAGAATCAGTCTGCTATGTTTTTAAAGGAATAACATACATATTTTATTTTATAGATAACTTACTCGAGACAACTCTTCTTGACCCAATTACTATTTCACACGATCTTAATTAGTGAAACACTTACTTGTGAGATTGTGATTCAAATTTGCAGAAATTAAGTACATTACACTGCTTTGAAACTTCCTTAGAATTAAGTCATGCAATTTACCTAAATTAAATTTAACTATATTGGATTTAGGTAAATTGCAATTAAGATTATGCTAACACAATGACATAATTTATTGAGTTTTCATAAGAATAATATTACTTAGCTGTCATTTATCTGACTGTCGGTAAGAAAACCAAGGAATATGGGATTGGAAATTCAAACGTATGCTAAAAATTCCCGACTAAGAGAACGAAGCGCCAACCAACAACAACGATTGGAAATATAAGTATTGCAATGTAGACACTTATTCATATACCTACTTATTAAAATACTTCAATAAAGTCCTATAGAATAAAAATTTCGTAAGCAGTATTTATCACTACCGCCAATTTCAGAATAGTGAATAATATATAATAATATTGAGTTTTAGGTCTCATTTAAATAAGTCCAATAATTAAATAAAATATTTTGTGAAGGATTTCCATATTAATTAAATATACCATTATTGGCCAAATATAAATTTAAGAACCAAGCTTCCCTTGATTCTTAAATTTATATTTGGCCATATAAAACACATAGCAACTAGAATTTTATATTTAGGAAGAGTGTAGGTATTCGGTGTCTTCTATAGTTCGTGAATTTTGCTGTTGACATATTGTAAACCTTTTACTTTTACCAATTATAAACATTTTACTTTTGTATTTCACTACATATATTAACACTGCGTATTAAATTCCTACATTTCAGTCGTTTCTTATTACTTTATTTACCTACAGAATCAGAATATCTAATCCATAATATCTATACATAAGTACATAGTCAATAAGTATGTACTAAAATTGTGTTCAAACAGGTGTCGTAATCTGTTTTTTAATATTTAATTCTGTGCCCTATGAAGTTTTTCAATTGTCGCATTGGTTGCTAAACTCTTCGGAAATGCGCTCATCAAACAGTGTCGTCGGCACGGGCCGTCCGGACTGAACCTGATAATGTGAGCCTTGGTTTAGTGGAATAAGAACTTCTGTTTAATTAAGATAAAACCACTTACGCCACTTCGTATGTGTGCATAACGTCTCAATAAACGGAATAGACACATTTACATACACATGACCGTATTTAAAAGTACCAACCGTTCATTGCTTCTCATAAGCTGCTTGCGATTGATTAGTTAAATTACTGGATTCGTTCTTCACGATTTAATATGATTCCTTCTCGAGTAATTGGTTCAATTATGAACCTATACCTATATATATTACACGTTTTGCGAGGTAGGTTGGTATAATTTAGGTTTATATT